CAAGCAGCCAACATGGCTGACCCAAGTTCGATTCCTCGGCCCCTCTCGGAGAGCCTGACAAGCTACCGAGAGTATCTCGCCTGCACGGCAGAGCCTGGCAAGCTACCCGTGACGTATTCAATATGCCAAACACAGTAACAACAAGTCTCATGATGGAGACATTACTGGGCCCACTCGAGAAAATCGATGAACAACGGGAGGACCATGCTATACTGTGCTATAATAAGGACCCCAGCAAGGTCCTTATTAGGTTGCTTATTTTTGGGTCATGACAGAGTTTGTTCCAGAGTTTGTTTGTGCTCTTAACTTACTATACTTATGGTGATTACCTTGTCCCATTCTGATGCCCGGGTAGTTTACAGCATGCTGTGGGTCGATCTAGTTCCTTTGTCGAGACCCTGCTTTTGGAATGCTTAGAAGTAAAGGCAAGTGAGACTTAAGTCAAATAAATATGATAGATGCCCATATGATAGAGTAAATGTTATTTGGAGTCAATTACCTCCCATGTTACAAAGGCATAGCATCAGCTGTCTTCTTGTGTCTATACAAAAAATACATTGCTAAATAAACCATGCACGTGACATAAAGGAAGCACTGTAGCATTGACCTTCCATTGTTCATCAATTTGCTCGAGCAGGCTCAGTAACGGCTCCATTGTGAGACTTCTTACTGTGTTTGGCATTTGGAATACATCATGGATAGCTTGTCAGGCTTTGCTGTGAGAGCGAGATACTCTTGGTATCTTGCCAACTTTCTGAGAGGGGTGGAGGAATTGAGCCCCACTCTGCCAGGCCGGCCAGGTGCAAGGCAAACACCCTGACACTGTGCTATTGCTCCAGCCCAACATAAAGGAAAGAGAAACCAACATAGCATTATTAGTGCTTGATGGAATTGGGTGTGCCTCAGGAGCACTGTTTTGGAAGTAACTCAATAAAACTAAGCTCCTTTGCAGGATCAGCAAGGACAACCCAATATTATTGAATAGAGAAACATATTAAACTTTAGGTTCGGGACTTATCACAAAATTATTAACTTAAGAATTTAGGCCCTACTCTTAGTTGTTTGTACAACCTTTGCGAAATTACATATTTGGTACATTCACAAAAGCCAATATTCTTTGAATAGTCTGCCATAAACATAAGCTCTACATAATTATTAATTTTTGTGCCTAGCACAGGATAATATTGAGAAAACATAATTAAAAGCAAAATAAAATTGTCTCATAACCTGGATAAACCTCTTCCACAAAAAAGAGAGTCAAATTTTTACTATTGAGTAATAATTAAAGTGATATGGGGTGTGCATCACGCAGTATGTTAGCAGATTGCAAGGACAAAGACATCTCACCCTTTCCCACAGTCAGGAAGCTTCTTCCCATTTCACACGTGTCCTCAAGATGGTCAATAGAACATTCTCAAGTGAAGAAATCTACTGCCATTTGTCACATGTGTTCTTTCTAAATTTACCTGGCAACTAGGGAGCCTGTAGGTGAATTGTACTTATACAAAGAACAAACAAATCGCTGTCATCTTTATGACAGAAAATCTCAATGTCTCTTTTGCAAACCACAGCACACAAAAGGAGAGAGATAACAAAAAGGAATGCCCTGCCACAGAGGTAGGGTGGGATGGGGGCGATAAGGGGTGGGAGGGATACTGGGATCAGTGGTGCTAGAGGTTGGGCATCGGTGGAGGGATGGGTATTCGATATTGTATTAACTGAAACCCAAGCACAAAAATTTGTAAGTCTACAACTGTACCTCATGGTGTTTCACTAATAAAAATTTAAGGAAAAAAAAAGAAAATAGTTTTGCAACATGAGGTAAGGCACCCTTCCATATTAGGTTTTTACTTTCTCAAAGATATTTAGAAGTAGGTGCACTACCTTCCTTGATTATTACATTTAAAACAGATGATTCTCAGGCTCTGGGAAAGACCTGTGTCTTAAGGTTGTAGCATGGCTACTAAAAGGATTTACATACATTTCAAGTAATCAGAAAGAAATTATGTCGAGTATTAACCCATGGCTGTATTAGGAAAGGAGATCAGGAGAAACAATACCATACCTTCTTTTTAATATATCATTTATAGAAGTCTTTACATATGGTCTAGTTAACATATGAAGAAAACTAATCTGTTAATGAAGTAGTCATCTCACTGGATTATAATTATTTTTATTGGCAGGACCTTTCTCTTGTTTTTAATTTTGATTTTAATTAGTTATTCTTTTGCAGGCGAGATGCTCTCGGTAGCTTGCCGGGCTCTCCGAGAGGGTTGGAGGAATCGAACTCGGGTTGGCCATGTTGGCTGTGTGCAAGGCAAACAGCCCTGCTGCTGTGCTATCGCTCCCCGCAAGGCAGAGCCTGGCAAGCTCCCTGTGATGTATTTGATATGCCAGACACAGTAACAACAGTCTCCAATGGAGACGTTACTGGGCCCGCTCGAGCAAATCGATGATCAATGGGAGGCCCTTTACTTTACTTTACTTATTCTTTTATTAGTGAAACACCATGAGGTACAGTTGTTGACCTTACAAGTTTCTGTGCTTGGGTTTCAATTATACAATGATCGAGTACCCATCCCAACACCAGTGCCCATTCTCCACCCCCAGTGATCTCAGTACCCCCCACCCCTCCCATCCCCCCATCCCATCCTGCCTCTGTGGCAAGGCATTCCCTTTTGTTCTCTCTCTCCTTTTGGTTGCTGATGTTTGAAAAAGAGGCATTGAGTGGCAATCATGTTCAGGACCTTTTCCTTGTTGATAGTCGCTTTGTTTATTGATGTATTCCTATGCTTAGAAAGGTCCCTAGAATATAGTTATTTAGGGCTTTAGATTGTAAGATCTGTGCTCTTGATCTTATACAACCAATGGAACAAAGCACCATGGTCTTGGGAAAAAAAAAAACAGAAACCAAACCAGGCAGAAAAAGAACTTTGAATACAGACACATCTGGATTAGGTTCCATATCTTGCTTTTACCTAGTTCATCTGAGGTAAATGGATTAACCTCTCTCGTCTCCGGATTTACCACTACACGCTAATAATAATCCTTAACTCCAGAGTATCCTACTGGGTAAATTATATAAAATATATCTTAAACAAACACACATACATACATACATACATACATACACACCCACACATATTTATATCAAATCAAAATAGAAGAAAAGAAATATCTGAAGCCGCATCTCATGTAGAAAAGCTCACCAAAGGGCCTGATAGAAGAGGGCCTCTGTAAATGTCAGCTCCTCTTTCCTGTTAGGAAGTGAATAAGGCTTGGAGTTGATTGTGTTTGCTTTGATTTCCAGTTGCAGAAAAGGAGACAAGGACAGCTGAGGGTATCATTGGGCTGAGAACATTCTCACTGCTATTCTCACAACATGGGGGTTGAAACCACTCTAAGCCAGGACAGAGCACTAGAATTTGAAAAGAACCCATTTGCTTTAAAGGCATTGTCCCAAATGTCAGAAATGCAGAAAACTATTCTGTCATTTCTTTTCACTGATATTATATCACAGCTTGCAGACTGTATGCTGGCTTTATAGATTTAAAAAACTGAAAATAATTATATGCAAAATTGCTTGAACAAATACTCTCTTCCTTTGATCCTTTGTTCCCTCTGTTCTAAACAATAGCATTTAGCTCACCCAACCCTCTAATATACCACAAAGCAGCAATAAAGGAGTGTTATTATGTAGTCATCACCTATGTATTACTGATGTAGTTAAGACAGATTGGGTGGTATATGGGGTGGATCTGACTTTTTAGTCAGAGAATTGCAAGATCATAGGTGTGAAAGGACTATAACAGAATGACCTACACTCCATTTACTAGATGTGCAGACTGGGAACAAAGAGGTTATGCGACCTTCCCACAGTTCAGAGATAAGGGTTGGAAGGCCTGGCACCACAGCAAGGTTGAGTTACTGCCAAAGATTTGCTTCATTGTGGAGGATACACTTAAAGTATATTTAAAAGTATACTTTTAAAATATTTGTTATGAAACTGTTTTTGTTGGGAGAAATTTAACAGAAAAATGTTTATTAGGGGCTGGAGAGATAAAAAAAAAAACGTAGATAGAGACTTTGCCTTGCATCCTAACCAACTTGGATAGGATGCCCAACACCTCATATGGTCCCCGCATTACCAGAAGTCATCCCTGAGCACAGAACCAGGAATAATCCCTGAGCATATCCAGGTGTGGCACCCAAAAGAAAACAACATGTATATATATATATATATATATATATATATATATATAATGTGTATGTGTGTATTATATTTGCAGTAAATGCAGAAAGTCAAATTAAGATAACTAAGAGATAATGAATTCTATTTTTTAAGGCAAATCTATTAATGAGTTCTAAATTTTAAGGCAATTACAAGGAAAATTGTAATTGGTAGTCATGTCTTGATGATCTTGATAACTATGAAAATTAACAATGATGGTGGTAAAAATTTACAGTGACAGGTCTGTTGAGGAGGAAGAGGCTAGTGGTCGGAGTGGTGATGTGGTATGAAAATGATGAGAGTGATAACAATGGTGGTAATGACAACAATCACCCTGGTGGTGATGATTATCAGCAACAGTATGGTCATGAAGGATATTGATTAATGTTCACTGAGAATTCACATTGAGACCTTCACTAGCCTAAAGAATTCACTAAATTTGGGTCATTCAGTCCTCACAGTAACCATGTTATATATAATTATAATCTAGACTTAAGAGCTGACATGCAATAATCTCTATGAATTAGAGCCTCTGGTCTCTTTGGCACCCATGGTTTTGCTGATCTCAACCCCAAACCATTCTCCCACATGCCAAAGAATTCATTATACCATAAATACCTCAACTAGGTCTCATTGTTCCTTTCTGCTGATAACATGTTAGATCTATGCATGGACTTTTGAATGAATGAGTAAATAAATGAATGAATTAGTGTATGTAAATGTTTTCTATTTGTAATAGAACTAGCAAAATATCCTGTATTTTTTTAAGGGAAATAAAGGAGAAAAAGGTGCACATGGTGAAACTGGACAGAAAGGTGATCAGGTAAAAATTTATTTTGTAACAATTCACTCTATTTCTTCAAAATAATCTTCATTTTATCATTCCTGACACCATTCTTGACTCAATTTTTTGGCAATATAAATCTTTAACATCTCATTTTCACTATTTCCATCTTAATTCCTCTAGTGCATTGTTATACCCCCTCACCCCAATTAACTCAGTAGTCTACTCATTTTTTATATTTTTATCCTTTTTGCTATTTTAGTCTTTCTTTACCTTCTTCCTTTCTGTTTTTCCACATTTATTATTCTTTTACCTCATTAATTAAAATGGTAAACATTCATTACAAATTGTCAACACTTTACTTCCACACTAACTCATTCCTCAAGCACCTCTTTGAAATACTTTCTCATTGTAATGTTTTGGTGATACCCCTCTTATTTGCACACCAAATCTTGATGGACCACTTATGTTGTTGTATTCTAAGATGGTGCTGGTGATGACTTTTCCCTTTTTTTAATGGATCTGAACACTGTCCCTCCATCCCATGCAACAAAATTATTTTTTAATTTCAGTTCCCCAGTCCCTAACAGATTTTCTGGAATTTAATTTAGCCACTGTGCTTCTGCTTGAGTGCACTCTTTCTGTTTCCTCTTTTGTTTCCTTTTCTGTATTATACCATCCGTCACCTTTTATTTCTAACTCTTCCATGCATCTCTCAGATAATCCTTATTGTAAATCAATGTTGTGCTAGAGACTGCACCAAACTCTGAGATATAGAATGAACATGAATATGGGCAATCGCTAACATAGGACATTTACTCATAAAAGGAGTAAGGCATGTGAGCAAATATTCCATAAATAGTGATATAAAAGCTTTACTCAAGGCCTGAATGACAAACTCAGTTAAAATTCCAACTGTTTTTTTGTAAAAAGGAAATGTTTTGTATTAATCTCACAAGAAAAATTGTCAGAGGGATGTACTTTATATTTTATGAATATTATGACTTTTATTTTTCTGGGCTATTTAGTTTTATAATATTGGTATACTAAGCTAAATCTTAAATCTAATAACAATAAAATACTTATCTTGTTTGCAATATTCATGACTCGTTATAGAGACATATATCTTTTAAAAGAAACATATGTTGTTGCTACATGCCATAATTCAATTAACATAATTTGCATCATAGAATACATACTCAAGGTTTTGTGTCTTAAGTTTTTTATAATAGTTAACTTCAAATATAAAGTAAGAGAAATACAAAATAGCTCCAATATGTCTATTTACCAACCATAAAATGTTAATTTTTATCGCTAATCTTGCTTTCATCCACATCCTTATATGCTTCCCTCTAAAAACGTTTTTTAATCACTGTTTGAAGTAAGCCTTCCTTTTAGATTGTTTTTGAAAATGTCAAATATTTGTTCAACCTATTGAAACAGTGATGATATTCATATAAAAAAAGTATATCCAACGATTATTCAAAATTGTTTTTGGAGTTAGATTCTGAACTCTCTTTTGGAAAACAAGGTTGTAAGTGAAAAGTGAAAAACTTTTCATGAGTCATTTTGAAGAATCACTGTGTGTGTTTTCCTAGGGTCATCCTGGAGTTCCAGGATTCATGGGGCCTCCAGGAAACCCCGGACCACCGGTAAGTAATAATTTTATTTTTCTCCATATGAATATACTTTCAACTCACTGAAGATGATATTGCACAAGAATTTCCTCTTTAATGCTGGCTAAAAGAGGCTGACACCTGAAAGTAGCCAGGTGGGCTAGACTAATAGGTCTGGAGGCATTTGGTGGTCATGCAGAGGGACCTGAGTTGTTTTAATGGGAAGTATAGTTAGAATGCATTTAGATCTGGCATCATTGGCAAGGATGGACAGGTTTACTTTGTTCATATTTTTTGTTCACCTTGGGAGGTAGGAACCATGTGGTATTGACAACATTAGGATCTTACATTCAAGTTTTCTCTTTTCTTTAGGAAACTGTCCCATGGTGATATACTCTGAAAACCATATAATGTCTATATATAAACCCATATTTAGCTGCATAAAAATAATAATTATAATTCACCATTGCTGTTCTCCACAGTTCATTCATTTTTCATTATACTATATTGATTTTTTCATTATACTAAAGCAAATACCATTGATATGATTTCATTTATTTCCATTTGAATCTCTTGACAATTGTTCTCCATTCTCAGTAATACTATGACTCTAACATTGACGTAAATGTGTCTCCCTGTATCCTATGATGCATACATATTAATCTTATGCTTCTCTGCTCAGAATCTACTGTGTTTGTAGCTCACGTGTCATCCAAGGGAAGCCAAGGTAACATACAGTTGTTGTGCCTGACTAGAACCAGGATTAGTCACCTGGTTCTAATTAGCATTTTCTTCCAGAACTTTCAAATAGAAAATTACTGATAATGGTTAAATGGCCACTGAAAGGAACTAATAAAGAACAACTTATTATCATTACAGTGACAACGAAATTTTGTTAGGATCAAGAAATGTATGAAATTGAGCTTACATTGTGTTCTTTTTAGCAACTTCTAAATCAGTTTTTAATTGTCAACTCTGCACTAATGCTTGGGATAAAACAAGTTTATTTTTAATTCTTTTCCTATAAAATGACATAAAAGCGTGAAATGGCATATTTAACTTTATGATAAAATTTTGCAGCAAACCCATCTAGGGTAAATAATCTACAAAAATATTGAAAGCTTTCCCAGTTTTGAAGAACTTACCTTAAATCTTTTTTTTTTGGCTTTTTTGGGTCACACCCAGCAATGCTCAGGAGTTACTCCTTGTTCATACACTCAGGAATAACTCCTGACAGTTCTCCGGGACCATACGGGATGCTGGGAGTAGAATGGGTCTGCCCTATGCAAGGCAAATGCCCTACCCGCTGTGCTATTGTTCCATCCCCTTACCTTAAATCTTTAAAACTCAACATACTTCCTCCACTCATTCAAATGTCTTTACAATTTGTCATCCTTAGTTCAATATTATTCTAATTCTGCTATGAAAGCAATGTTGCAGGGGTTTGATCAGTCTTCTGTCATTTAGCTTCATGAAATGCTGCATTAGTTTGAAAATGCATTATTTCACTTCGGAAATTATTTTGCTTGTCTGCTTTTGTTATCTATTAGCAAAAGAGATTCTGATCAGACAGCATTAGGATGGTTAGTAAGGGAAGGCATTAATATTAAACTAGGAGGGATATTTAGAAGGAAATAATTTCTGTACTATGAGTTTCAGTTTATTCTTAATATTTCCAAATAATGTAACTTTAGTTTCCTTGTGCAAACTAATTCTGAGAAATTCAGAAAATGAATGTGTTAAAGCTTCATTGTAATACCCAGGTAATTCCAAAGTCCCTCACACATCTCTAATGCAAATGAGACCTACTTTCTTTTTATTGGAAATTACTGTAGATTCGAACTTCATGAATATTTTTAGATATAGTTCTTGACTTGGTTTTATCATTCTAGATTAGGCATCTGAGATTCAGAAACAATCACAATCAGAAGCCAGTGTCACTTTCTCTAACTGATTAATGTTTTCCATTCACTCAGCAGATGTTTATTGAGTTTCTACTTTGTGTTTTGCCTAGTACTGTTAATTGCCTTTGCAAGTGGATGCTGAGTCAGCTGCCTATTCAGACTCAGCAGTACATCCTGCAGTAGCAACTCAAGAGCAGGAAATTAACCCTGCAGGACATTTATGTATCTTTTAGTGCTTCTGTCAGGCCCTTCCAAAGTATCCAACTATATAGATGCCAAGAAAATTGCTTTCTTTGTTTTAAAAAGAAAGAAAATAGCATTTTCTTTCTGAATTTATTTTCTGGTCAGAATTCTTTTAGATAAAACCTTTACTTTTCAATCTCCACCTGAAGAAGGTAAGTTTGATTCCTGCTAATTTTGGTTCCAGCATCTAGAAACCAACAATTTTTGGTAAAATTATGTCCAATTTAGCTTTGGAGTCAGAAATCTTTTCAGATTTGAGTAGGTTTGAACTGTGTGCACAGTTTTCCCCTGAAAAAGCCCAAATGTATATACATATAATATTTCTTTACTTAATGAATATTTTCTAGGATCCTAACTACTGAAATAGATGAAGTACACGAGACTTAAGTCTTGTCTCATATAGTTTGCCTTACACGAAAAATAAATTATTGTCAAATGTCTTACTCTTAAAGCATGGCCAGCCCATACACAGCATAGACTGGGGTAGGGAAAGTCAGGCCCATAGCAATGTAAGACCTGAAAAATGTGATCTGGTATGGTACATGAAAGGGTATATATATATATATATATATATATATATATATATATATATATTAAGTTTCTTAACTTAGCCACATTGAAGTTAAGTCACATTTATATCCAAGTAGTCTTCAGTGAGAAAAAAATCTGATTTAGTTACTCAATAAACATAAAATATTTTTTAAAAGCACTTGAAATATTGAGGTTTTCGGTTTGTTCTCCTTTATTGTTCCATGCTCTTGTCTGTCTAATAGATATCCACTGATGAAAAGCTGCAGCAGGGCTTGTGATAGTGGTAAATCTGTTACAGAGAGTTCTTGGACATGCCTGGCACTGTCTGTTAGAACTCTTTATACTCAATATACATTAATTTACTTTTTTCAATAACTCAGATTAAACTAGTACTGTCATGTTTTGTATTTCAAAAAGAACAGAGAATAAGAAATCAAATAACTTCCTAGGGCCACTCGGTGGTCAGAACAATGACACTGTCTTGAGCATACTCTCTCTAGCCCATACGCTCCTGATCATGCCTCTGCTCCATGGTATCACACTTGGAACATTGCTTCGTTCATTCCTCATCCCTTATGCAAGGGGAGTATTAATTTCTACTCTCACTAATAAGAAAACAAAGCCTGGAGATACTCTACTTCTTAAACAAAGTGAATGAAAAACAACTACTCTACAAAATTTCTGTCCCTAAGACCCAGCCAAATCAGCATGCAATTCATTCATACAAAGACATACTGGATATTTATTATATGTAAAGCACTGATTCAGTTCCCAGTGAACAAGACAGTCAACATTAATATGTCAGACAATAGTTAACTGTTATGGAAAAAAATAAGGCGGAAGAGGAATTGGAAAACTCAAGGGATTTTGATGTTGTGTTTAACCTCCCATGAAGGAACTGATACTGGTTTTGGTGATTGCTGAAAGGGCTAGAGTTCACTGTCCTCCCATTATTCATCAATTTGCTCAAGCGGGCCCAGTAACGTCACCATAGTGACAATTGTTACTGTGTTTGGCATATGGAATACATCATGGGTAGCTTGCCAGGTTTTGCTGTGTAGGCGAGATACTCTCGGTAGCTTGCTGGGCTCTCCTAGAGGGGTGGAGGAATCGAACTCGGGTCCACCATGTTGGCCGCTTGTAAGGCAAGCACCCTACCCACTGTGCTATCACTCCAGCCCAAGGGTTAAAGTTAATGTTTTGCAATCACAAGAAAGGTCCCAAATTTGAATCCTTGGCATCACACAGTGCCCCTAGCAATACCACGTATAAGCCTGAGGCCGACAAGCACCATGTGGGATAGTAGTAACCCCCAGCACTTTTGGGTCTAGTATCACATTGCTGGGCTTAAACATTAAACCATTCAGATCAGTTGGCCAAGAATCACTTGAAGTGGTCCTGACAATAGCCACATTGAAGTTAAGTCACTTAAGCCACTTGCCCAAATTCACTTTCCCTGAGCTTTGCTTTGGAACCCCCCCACTTGTTTGCCATCAAGTTAAGCTGATTCCTGAAGTAAGATGTCAAGGAGTTGAGATTTTGTGCTCTTACACTTGGGTATTCAACTACAGGTAAAAGAAACAGCATATGCAAAGCCATGTGACAGCAATAAGAGAGCTGATTTTGCAGAATTTAATTATCTGTGTATGATTTCTGTTCTATTTATCTATCCATGCATCTCATCTCTTCATCTTTGATTCACAAAACAGTTGCTTTCCTTATCTCCATGGAAGAAACATCCAAGTGTTTATTTCTTGCTTTCTTTCCTAAAATGTTCCCTATTAAGCTAAAATGTCTACCTGGAAGCCAGGCTGTGTTAGCTTTGTTTGACTGTTAATTTTTGGGCTTTCCTTAAATTCCCTGCTGTCTGCTAAGAATATTTGTTTTCCCAGTGAATTTCATAGTCAAGTACAAAGCACCTTTTAGATGTTTTAAATGTTTATGGTTCAGACATGGTTGGGCAGGGCCAAAGGATGCAAGATCTGAAAATTGCCTAATGTACAACAAGACATGTGGAGGAACTCTGAATTATACACAACAGACTAGCTTTCTGCCTTGTCATTCTAAGGGAGTGGATGGAATTGCAGGAGCTGCCGGACCTCCAGGAATCCAAGGATCACCTGTAAGTTTCTCAGTCACCCTATCTGCTCTCAGCCAATGTTTGGACCTTCCTAGAGCCCCAGGTGTTCACTAGTCCTACCCTGTTATTCTCAACTCTCCTTCTAAATTTGAACATGTATCCCTATTACTAGACTTAGCTCATGAAAAGGGTCACATTAAATTGTTGTTCCGATTACTTTGCCTCAAAATAAAGGAGTTGATGATATAACCTGGCAATCTGGGATTCTACAGTTTAATTTACATCAAATTTAATCAGGCACTTTTCTCTTTCTCCTTAGGGTTTTTTTTTTTTTTTTTCTGAACAGGCAAAGGGGTGTGGAAGGTTTGGAGTTAATCCACTCTGAGCCTGTGGTGTGTGTTAAGACTGTGAGACAGGAACTAGCCACTGTCACCCAAAGGATCAGGAACAGAGTGTTGAAATAAAACAGGGAAAGTCCCTGTCAAGGTCTTGGAACCTGAATTGACACTTAATCCCTAGACTTTAATCTCACAGCCCAGAATTATGCTCATTGTATAAAGCTACAATTCTTTTATAGTTATTTTGTCTTAGAGTTATCTGGTTTCTATTTAGATAGTGAATGACTCATCTTGATCTAATATTGTAGAAGTATCAACCTAATTTTTATAAAATGTCATTTAAAAATATTTTTCCTACCTAAATGTTGTGGATAGTTACCTAATGAATAATTAAAGTATAATTTTCTTAGCAAACCACAGCTGTTACAAAAAGGTTTACAGAAATATTATTAACTTCTTGTTAAATCTCCAGCTCACATGATGAGAGCAGAAAATAATATTGCCAATGTTTTACTATCATAATTTTTTCAGGTATAGAAGTAAAACTCAGCCATTGACTCTATATTGAGTCTGACAAGTACTTGATAAAGGAATTGTATTTTGTGTTCCCCAGATACTTTCAATATAACAATACATGAAAATCTATACATGAAATAACTATCAACATATTCCTTTTGCTTTTATTGCAAGAGTCTATCATTATAAGCATTAAAATATCTGCTTGTGTGGCAAGTAAGTTAGGATGTAAAATCTTGTATCAGTATTCACAAAAGCAACACTGACATGAACTAATAAACTAGTCAGTACCTTTCAGTACTCAGGGAAGAGATGCATGGTGATATAAAAATGCTCAATGCAACAGAAATTATGACACTGATTACATCATACTGCTTAAGAAGCTCTGATTGAGAGTGACATGTGACTTGGGTGATTAAAATTGAAAATTAAATATTAATTTGCACAGTTTACTTATACTGTCTTTCCAGACATGTACTGTATTCCATGAGAAAGATTAAAAAAGAAAAGAAAAGGAAAAAGAAAATACCATTGGAGGTGCAAAGTTTAGGAACCTGTGCACAAGTTGTTCCTAAAAGTTATGACTTCCTGGTCAGTTCTTCTCTTGCATTAGATCTGCATGTACAATGCTTCCAGGTGCTATGGTCTTTGCTGCATCAAGACCATAGCCCAAATCTCTGGCTGTTAGCAGACTTTGTAGTTGGATTAGTACCAAGATTGTATGAATCCCAAAACTGACTATTTATTCCCACCAGGTGTCTTAATATCATGGAATTCCTATTTAATCTACACAGTTGGTCAAATTTAGTCCTATTCTCTATATCAACTACATCTCTTTCTTCTAAGTTTATCTATTCGCCTTGGTGGGAATGTCTCCCATTGTTGGAAGCAGGTAGATACAGAAACTTCCCATCAATGCTGCCTTTAAATTTACAGAGGCAATTCTGTGTGAAATAGTTATTTCCTGCAAAAGTCAATCCTATGCTGAAAGTGGACTATAGACCAAACATGATTGCCACTCGATGCCTCTTTTGCAAACCACAACACCCAAAGAGAGAGAGAGAACAAAAGGGAATGCCCTGCCACAGAGGTAGGGTGGGGTGGGGGGATGAGGGGTGGGAGGGATCCTGGGACCCCTGGTGGTGGGAAATGGGCACTGCTGGAGAGATGGGTGTTCGATCATTGTATAACTGAAACCCAAGGACAAAAATTTGTAAATCTACAACTGTGCCTCATGGTGTTTCACTAATAAAATTTTTTTAAAAAGTCAATCCCAGAGAATTAATACAATTTTTATGTTTTGTATGTTTTAGGGGAAAGATGGTCCTCCTGGTCCACAAGGCCCATCTGGATTACCTGGAATCCCAGTGAGTGGAACTGTATACACCTCTAGTTTTTGCTACAAATATAACAAATGAAAATGCATTGTTAAAGTCAGGCAGGATTACTGGGGAACTTTGGGACTAGTACAGAAAATGAGAAGAAAATTTATTTCTAAGCAGCCTAAGTCAAGTAAATTTTGGTGGATTTAGCTCTATCTCCTCCTTCTTTTATACATATCTTTTTGTTGTTAACCTATTTAAAATTTTTTACTATGTATATTTATACCTATTGTATATATTCACATATATAACATGCATGCAGCTAAGGTAATCAACAAAACATAAATGGACTCATAAATATTTGACTATTTGATTTTATAAATATTATATAATTATATAATATATAATGATACATAATTATAAATGTTATATTTATGAATATTATAAATATATGACTCACAAATATATGACTATATGATTTTTGACTGATGTTAATGTTCATAAATTTTATATATTCTTTAATCAATAGATGCACCTAAATACATTAATTATTCCTATTGCCTCTTAAGCCTTATACTTAAAAATCCATTTTTCATAAGCTGTTTTTATACATAGCAGTGTTCTAATTTCTATATAGTTTCCCCATGAAGAAATGTTTACTGTCAAGGTAAAATGGCATCAAAGGATCTTGATACATATTTCAAATTGCTTTAAATGTTGTTTTGCACTTTTAAATTTACTCTACTCCCCCAAAAGAGATAATAACATAAATGTTAGCAATCAATCCAGTGCAGAAAGTATCGTGCTGCCTTCTTTATTGAGAATGTTTTCTAATGTGGGCCCAGGTCAGACGTGTGCTTGACGCTGGGCCTCTATGGCTACAGCATCTCAATTCACAGGGAATTCTTATGTCCCAGATGCACAGGTATTCTTCTGTTTCTTACAAGATTCTGGAATTTCTTAAGTTCAGCTTAAATCTTCTCTCCGGACAAGAGGACTTGCACAGGAGCATTGTCATCTGTTCTCTGATTACCTCTTTCTCTAGTTAATGTCTTTCCCTTCCCCACTCACCCCAGGGAATACTATCTAGATGTCCTCTACTCCCTACACCATTATGGGCCCCCTTTGTCTCCTTTCTTTCAGAGTATCCATCTAAGCTGGCAATCAGATTTTTATTGTGTAATGGTTTGGAGAGTGACCACATATACCATTACTTATTGATGGATTCTCCGTTAAACTATCTAGATTTAGGCATCCCCGTATTGCTCTGTCTGGGATATAACAAAAGAATGCCTGGTAGTCTGGAGGTTTTTCAGAGGAGACTTTCTTTCCCCATACACAGTGAACACACACAAAAATTAAATATGAGGATGAAGAAGTGGTTTCCTGCAGTTTTCCCCCCGACAAGCATTTCACAAATGCTACCTTGATTAAGGATTTTTTTCAGACATTATTATGTAGCCTTCCCTACCAGTACTTCACCTTGAGGTTTAAGAGTTTCAGGGCATACAGCTAAAATGTAAAAGTTCTGTTAATATATACTATAGTCTTTTAGTTTAATATGTCATAAAACAGTAATTAATATTTTAATGTGATTATAGCAATAATCAATTTAAGAAGAGGAAATTTTGGTTCACAACCCCTTATCATCAAAGTCTTAAGAGTACTCGAGAAGAGAGAAATGGTCTTAGATATGATCATACTATTTTAGTAATGTTCCTTAAACCAGATAGAAAAGAATAAAAACAAGATGATCCCATTTGTCTGTAGTATATAGAGACAAAAACAAGTGAATAGATGGTATCAAATAATAAAAGTCCTTGGCTCAGGATGATAGAACTGAGACAGCCAAGAAAAGGGCAGAGTGAGAAACAGAAAATAATTAGGTATCTAGAAGTAACAAAAAAACATTGGTAGAGAATCTCAGGCACAATGGTGATGGTGCATGAGATAACAATGTATATTATGAGCATAAAGATTAACACTGCTGGACTAGAGAGGCATATGGAGATTAAGTCATTTGCTTTGCATGTGACCTACACCAATTCTGTTTCTGGCAACACAGATGGTCCCCTGAGCACTTCCAGGAGTGATCCCTAGCGTTGAGCCAGGTGTAAGCCCTGAGCACAGCTAAGTATGGCTCTTCCTGCTTCTCCCCAAGTAAAAAGAGTTTAATCATATTACCTAGTGTATAATAAAAGTAATTTTTAACATTGCTTCTTGTTAACTTCCTTCTTTCTCCCCCCCCCTTTTTTTTTTGCTTTTTGGGTCACACCCAGCAAACACAGGGATAACTTCTGGCTCTGCACTCAGGAATTACTCCTGGCAGTGCTCAGGGGACCACATGGGATGCTGGGAATCAAACTCTGGTCAGCCGTAGCCTCTGTGCTATGGCTCCAGCCCCCTTGTTTTTCCCTTTTAATATAAATATCACTACTCTGCTTACTATTGCCCTTAGGCATAAGAGAGATGGAAAATTACCTCTCTGGCATCTCATATTTTTTTTCTCATGAATATTTTCATCTCCCACTTTTTTCTGTGTCTCTTTCTCATTCCTGTACCCTAACTCTCTACTCAGCCCTTAGTCCTAGCCACTCAAAACTACTTTTTCTCTCTTTGGTAACATCCCTATTTAGAAATCTTGTCCTCTTTCCTTCTCTTGAACATTAAAATTGTAATCACTTTGATGTACACTGCACTAGTGCTTAGTCACTCCCAAACATCTTTTTATTCTGTGGTTTCAGATAGACATCCTTTCCACAAGAATAACCCTTTAAATCGACCTATCAGGCAATATAGGATCTGGGGTAGTCTGAGAGCACAATTTCCCTGACCAGTGAAAATGCTTCTGGCTTACTAATATAAGTCCTTATTCATTTTCCGGGTATACTTTCACCTAATCCTTGCTGTAGTATAGTGACTGTCGGTGCTTCCTAAATCTGGAAATATAGGAAATACAGGACAGAACAAAAGCACATGACCTATGCCAGCATTCAGCATCAGGGTCCTAAATCGTGTGCAGCCTGCAGGCTCAAACCCGAAAGGGAAAAACCCACTCAAAGTGAGCCTGAAACATGATATGGTGGGTGGTATGAGGATAGAGGGCTCTGGAGGCTAGTAGGTCCCCTCTCATCCCTGGCAAACTGCAAGAAATTCATGGAGATAAAAATATTCGAGATGTGTATCATATTATCTAGGCATAAAAGCTTGAGAAGAATCAAGAACAACGTATTTCAGGTAAAAAAATAAAAAAGGAAACACCTTTTTTATTTTTTAATACAAATATATATTTATTTTAACTGGCTACAATAAATTATATAAGTATTAAGAAGTCTCCCACTTCTCCCAGGAGTTAGTGTCACCTTTTACTAGCATTCATTGACACCTCCAAATTAGCTTCTTTAAAGTACAACAATAAATCAATCTCCTCACTTATTAAGTGCCTTGATGTGTGTGTTCTAATTTCAGCCACTCCCACTGAAATCTATGCAGGAGTATTGCCCTTATTAAAGATAGAGAAATGAGACTAAGAAGGTAAAGGATAGCTTAATGATGCAGAGTTTGTAAGGATCAAATCATATCCCTTATAAAACCAGATTGTATTCTTAGATTATTCTCCCGGCCACACTCTCCTTCCTGTGCTATTTTCTGATATAGCACATGCTGACTCTTCTCAGGGTCTGGCAGACTACCCAGGAGGGTCCCAGGGTCTCCTACAGACTTCAACCACAAACCCATAACTAATAATTATTCTCTTGCATCTATTTTTCCCTATTGTTTTGGCTTTTGTTTCTGTGTACAAATCTAATGACCCTCTCTACCTTCTTCTTGCACAAGAATAAGTGATTTCTGGAGTTAAACTGTGAGTTGAAAAGGTCAATATATCCTGGTCTCAACTTTTACCCTGTTGGTTTATTGTTGTCAAATTGGCTAGTCCAAGATGATGCGAACATAGAGCACTGGATTCGTGACTTAGGTGGTAAATAAAATTAGATTACTGCACACGGGTATTTTCATCATTACCAAATCACTTCATTTCAACCAAATGATATGAAAGGCTCTGATGAGCAACTGAGCACAATTTCATGAGAAACTATAGCAATAGGAATAGCCAGGTTACTGGTGCTTTTTTCCTGGTGCCTGGTTTGTTGTGTTGTCAGTGGCTGTAGCAGCTGTAAGTCATTTACTTATCCTATTGCTCCAGCCCCATTTTTTTTCCTTTTTGGGTCGCACCAAGTGATGCACAGGGATCAATCCTGTACTTATCCTAAAAGACAGTGTTGTCATCTCCTTTTAAGAGAAGGGGAAATGAGGACCTGAGAATTTCAATAACATGTCCGAAATTATCTGCCTAATACACAGATGAATCCTGTAAGTAGAATTCCAACTTAGCTTTGTTTGGCTCCATGTCACCTGTAGCTTGCTTTCTGTTGCTTTCTCTGTCCCTTGAACTGGGTGGCAATGATCTAGGATTAGAATATAATTCTTTGGACTATTATCATCATACTATAGAACTATCCTCCCACACCTCTGAAATTCCTAAAGAAGTAATGATCTCCTAGATAAATATGAGGCGCCTTGCTTAGAGCAGATGGTAAACTAGTAGATGGCATGGAGCAAGGGGGGAAGAAGTAAAGGGTATGAAACAAATGAGGCATCTATGGAAAAGAGTACAAAGTGGTCACGGTTTATGTATATCCTAGACCTAAATTTTCATGCTATCTGAAGATTCCCTCGTATCCCAGTGCTAATTGCCCACATGCCATTCAATGTTTCATTTCTTCATCATCACAAGTGTTCTTCGCATTATATTGTTCAAGGCAGGCACCCAGATATGAGACCCCCCAAATTAACTGTGACTTCATGAAAATATATGGTAGGGTTTACTTTAGATCCATGACAATGATGGAGACACTACAACAACTTACTGACTTTCTACTATGTATCAGGCACTATGACTTAGAGATCCAAGTCAGAATCTTGGTGTTGGAGAATAAATCTGGAAGTCTAGTCAGTTCTCTCAGTCAGTTCTGTCTATGAAATGTGTACTTAGCAGCTAAAGATGAAGGTATATGTGCACTGAGCAAAAGACATGATAAATGTAAGTCTGTCTTTCCAGCCTTCTTGTATTCTTTGGCCCCATAACCATTTCAATTTTCTCTTACAGGGAGAAGAAGGCAAAGAAGGCAGGGATGGAAAGCCTGGTCCTCCAGGAGAGCCAGTAAGAGGCACACGTTTTCTACCATTTTACAAGGCAGCTTACTAATATTTTAGTAACAACTGCTCTGTGGGGAGCTGCTATGAGATAGACACAGTGGGAATTCCTTTTTTATGTACTAACTCATTAACCTTTTCTTGCCAGATAAATGTTATTCTTTGCATTTTGTAGCTGAAGAGACAATGCTGGGAGGTAGACTGATGGCCCCAAAGTCAGATATTGGACAAGTAATAGAACTAGAACTTGAACTTGAGAACCCCAAGCTTGAACTTGGTGACTCCTGAACCTCTACTATTGATATGGGTGGGGACAAAGGAAGGTGAATGGAAGGACAGGAATGGGTATAGATCTGATATCTGAAATACCTGTCAACCTACCAAATGGGCGAACCTCACCTGCTTACTCCAGAGGAGTAAGGGGTATTGCTATTGCCCTTTCTTCAGTCTTGATATGAATTTCTGTTTTCCTTTTGCTTTCTCTTTAATGTGAGCTGTCCTAGACACTAGGAAAGATGGCTTGAGTGCTCAAAAGGAAATATCCTGATCCCTATAGCTATTGGTTGAAACTGTGCAGGAAGTTCTGCTGATCCACATCTAAGTCCTTAAACTCAGTTTCCCTTAGTCTGATCAATACTTCAGACTATGCACAAAGTATGATGCACAGGGGACTATGTCATCTATGATGACAGAAATTACTCAGATCTTTATTAGCTGTGTTTCACCATTTTTTTCATAGCCACAAAGTGAAGGAAAAATTCAACTGGGGGCCAGAGAACTCATTTAGGAAGTAAAACTCGTGCCTTGCATGCAACCAACCTCAATCTAATCCCTGGTGCTACATATGTCCCTTGAACACTTCTAGGAATGTTGCATGAGTACATAGCTAGGAATAAACTCTGAGCACCACAAGATGTAACCAGAATCCCTCCCCCAAAGAAAACTGGTCCTTCCATCCCCCGCCATTAAATTTAAAAAGGGAGATGAACACACCACAAGCAACTATTATGAAAAATAAAATGAGGACTTTATCTAGATTATAACATGGGGCCTCTCCAAGATGAATTATTAATAAAAAGAGCAAAGGTGTAAAGCAGTGCATATTACCTGTCATTCTGCATTTTTTAAAAATGGGATCTCTATAATTTTCTAGCGTTTATATAAAGAAAAAAACACCGGGAGGCCCCACAAATCACTAATGAGAGCAATTAACATTAGCCATAGAATTTTTGGAGTCATGTGTAGATCTTAATGTTATAATAACATTTTAAATATGATAATTAAATAAGAGTAATTTATGTCAACCTTGCAATTATGTCACACACACAAAAAAGATCTGGCTTTGGATTCTGATTCCACACCAGGCAAAGCATCTCTGATTTCTTTTTAAATAGAATGAGAATAGTAGTGCCAACTTGCTTGAGTTGCTGGAGAATCAAATGGGGTGAGAAATTTGTTAGATGCATCCGGCTTAGCTAACAGTTAATTATTTTAGTGAGTCCCCTTTTTTTTCTGACTGCCCTAGTTTTAACTCATGGTGAGGTCAGAGCTGCGGAGCCTTAAGAACCACTAAATGGCATTGCATAAAGGTTTCTACAGTGAGGTTTATGTTCCATTTAATTTGTTTGGTCACAAGCTATTATGACTCATTCTGCATCTCAGGCAACTTGCCGGAAGCACCTCCTTTATCATTTTACACTGTTTGCCAGATGCTGAAGCCAGAATTCACTGCTGAGAGGAAAAGAAATAGCTTACACTGGCCAAATAAAGTAAAAGAGCTCCTGCTACAGCCCCTGGAGGCTGAGGTCCAGTAGTGTTGTTGTCAGTGGAAAATGGCAGTGAGAATGTGGGAAGAAAAAAAGATGAACACTGCCATATGTTCTGAGAGCTACTGTGTGCCCACTGAGCCAGCGGATACTGAGCTGTTCCTTACATCTTCCATGTAAAACCCAGTAAAAATTTTAGAGACATATGGACCACTTTTGCCCCAGATAAGAAAACAGAGAGGTGAAGCAGAAGGAATAAACAAGATCACACAACTGGTAAATGAAGCATCCTACACTCATCTTGCGGGATTACCCAAGAGTTCAATACTGGAAAACAAACAAACAAACAAAAAACCTCTCCACAAGAGAGGGTGTCATTTATGGAATGAGATAACCAAGACTTTTATCTGATTTAGTCCATCTAATGGCTGGAGCAATAGCACAGCGTGTAGGACATTTGCCTTGCACACAGCTGACCAAGTTTAGATTGCTCTGTCCCTCTCAGAGAGCCCGGCAAGCTACTGAGAGTATCCCACCCACACGGCAGAGCCTGGCAAGCTCCCTGTGGCATATTCGATATGCCAAAAACACTAACAACAAGTCTCACAATGGAGACGTTACTGGTGCCTGCTCGAGCAAATCGATGAATAACGGGAAAGACAGTGCTGCAGTGCAGTGCAGTCCATTTAATAAATGCCCACTCCAGAAATGACTGCCAGGCACTGTCTACAGAAAGACACATGAGCAGAACAATTCTGGAGAGGCAGTGGACACATGATTGTTTGAACGCTTGAGGTGGGCTTCTTGTCCTACAAAAAGGTAGGCTAAGTCACTCCAACTAGAGGACATTTGCAAGCTTCCAGTCAGATAATACTATAACCTCTATGGGGAGCTACCCTGACATTTCTCAGTCTGCCTGGTTGGGAGGAAATTTGCACAGGTGGGTAGCAGGAGCGATCCTCTAAGCACAGATAAGAAGCAAGAATTTGGGGACAAATGGAGTATTTGGAAAATGATCTCCTGGAACACCCTGTAGAGTGAAGAATGGAAATCGGAAAGAAGAAAAACAAAAATGGAAATAGAAAAGAGAAAACAGGAGAGAAGAAAAGTGGATGAAAAGTGGAAGAAAAGCTAATGAGAGAGCCAATCCTCATAGTCAAAGCACCCAGTCCCAATGGGCACTCTCTGAGAATGTGGGAGGCGCATAACCTGGAATCCCTTCTCCAACTCTCTCAAGGGATCCAGAGATTAGGGTCAAGTTTAATATCCAATGCAGGTCTGTTTTGGTTGAGACTTGCTCGTGAAGGCAATAATGCACTCACCTGGACTGTTCAGGCCACAATGCTATGCACCCCTGAAGGCCATTCTGCTCAGACCTCTGACCTGTTTTTCAACTATTAAGCACAAGTCTTGATACTTTCCTTAGTAAAATTAAGAGAAAGTTTGCATTTGGTTGTTAGATCCTCAGTATTTATGTTGACTTATTACTTGAATGTATGCATTCATCAACATGATGAATGACCTGGCACCTGAGTTACGCAGGAGGAAGAGAGCGGCTTGGAATGCCTTCAAGAGCATTGAAGAAATAACTAAAAGGACAAAGAACCTCCAACTACGAGCACATCTCTTTGATTCCACTATTCTTCCTGCATGAACATATGCCTCAGAGACCTGGACCCTACGAAAACAGGATGAGAACACTATTCGGGTCTCTCAAAGAGGAATCGAAAGAACTATGCTTGGAATATCACGATTCACTCAAATGAGAGATAGAATCCGGAGTTCTGATCTTCGTCAACGCTCAAGAATCAGAGACGCTGTCTCATTTGCCAAGACATCAAAAATCAGATGGGCTGGACATGTAATGAGGTTTACAGACAACCGCTGGACTAGAGCCATTACTGATTGGATTCCACGAGACATCAAAAGATCACGTGGACGCCCACCTATAAGATGGTCAGACTTCTTCGTCAAGACCCTAAATGATCGGTTTGAGGCTCTACATGTTCCTAAAACGAACAGATACCATTGGGCTACGCTAGCACGCAACCGTGAGGAATGGAGACGTTACTGGCACCTGCTCGAATAAATCGATGAATAACGGGGATTAAGTGATTAAGTGAGTGATTATTACTTGAATGTATGCACTGTAGCACTGTCCTCCCATTGTTCATTGATTTGCTCGAGCAGGCACCAGTAATGTCTCCATTGTGAGACTTGTTACTGTTTTTGACATATTGAATATGCCATGGGGAGCTCGCCAGATTCTGCCATGCAGTGGGATACTCCCGGTAGCATTCCTCTACTGGGGATGGAGGAATCAAACTTAGGATGTCACGTGCAAGGCAAACGCCCTACCAGCTGTGCTATCACTCTAGCCCCTTGAACTGTTGAATGTATATTATCAAGAAATGTATATTTTCAAGGAATATATATATATATGTATGCATTTATGCATGTGTGTATATATATACAGGCAATATATAGGTTGGCAATAACTATATATATATATATATATATATATATATATGGGCAATAACTGACCATGCTCAAGGCTTACTTCTGGCTGGCTCTGTGCTCAGGATTTAATACTGGTGGTGCTCAGTTGCCCATATTTGATGCTGGCATTAAATCTGGGTTGGCTGCATGCAAAGCAAAGCCCCTTATTTGGAAATAGAGGGAGGACTCAAACAGATGGTAGGTAGATAATGGAAGAAAGTATAAATGTGTGACTATCTGCTTGTTTATACAGATCACTTTTAATTATAGTGTAGGACAAAGTAGAGAGACTCTGGAGCCAAAAATGCCTGTATATGAACTCCAGCTGTGTGACTTAAAGCAGATCGTTTAACCTGTCTACGCCTCAGTACTTTGCCTGAGGAATAGCAATAGTGCCACTTGTGTAGTTACAGTGAGAACTCATCGGCATAATTGTCCAAAGATGGGAGTTATGCCCAGCACATGGAAAATGTGATATCATTTTTCCTGCTGATAACTTAGATTAGTCATAATATGCCAGCTTGACTTTTGGCTACAGTAAAACTGCACCAGTGTATCCTCAGTCACAAATTCTACAAAGAACAGTCTTCTCACAGAGACTGATTTATCTGAATTATACCCTAAGATCACATAAACTAAAATCAAATTTGTTGGGACAGGAGATTCATGCCACACTAGAAATTTGAACTATCCTTCATGCCTCTCTCTCTGAATCAAAGAAACAATTTTCTCTCTTATACCTTTATGAGTGAACCCTCCATCCTGATCCTCAAAGTTGACAAACTTTGTAAATAAAGGGGACAATTTTGGAGACTTCCATGACCTGCTGTCAGGTTGCTTGTCCAATATGAGCAGTATCCCAATGCTGCTAATGCTGCCCACCAGTTCCCTGTGACCCACTGATCCACCTTCCCTCCACTCTCGCCACCACCACCAACTGAATTATTGGACTTTAGAACTCAAGGTTGGCATTGGGTTTATTCAGGTTTGGTTCTATCCAGGACAGTCTAAAGATGCTGGTAGTGAATACTGTGGAAAATTTACTTATATCTTCACTGTACTAAGAATAGCGGTAGTGGGGAAAATGTGAACAAACCGCAGACCCCTCTTTCAGCTGGAATGAAATAGCCACTGACTACATGATTTCCTTATTACTGGGAAATCTGTAACTCTTTTGGGCCTTGGTGTCCCCTTTTCTGAAAGGCAATAGTTGATAACTTCCTTGAAATATTTCTGTAAGAACAATGTCACTTATAACCCTCATGCTACATAAAATTTCTCAGAATCCTTCTGAGAATGAGCAGGAACACTCTGAACTATTCCTAAGATGTACCTTTGTAACCAAAATTATCTCAGGAAAACAAAGGCCTGGGATAAGCTGATTTTATCAACTAAAATGCACAACAATATCAAAACAGTGATAGGCTTATGGAAATATAATAGTAATATTTTACAGGAAGTCAAGAGTAGGGGGAACTTTCAAAAACTAACCATTTCTTTTCTTCTTTGCTCTCAGGGAAAAACTGGAGAGCCAGGTCAACCAGGAGCAGAGGGCACCCGAGGCCCTCCTGTAAGTACCAGATGTGTGGGGCTCGACAGATGGCAGGAGGATATGACAATAACATTAATCACATAGCTCATGTCACATGAATAATGTTCACAGAGTGTTCATAGGTGGTTAGTATAAGGTAGTCTTAGAAGTTCCCTGGATAGATACTGGAACTTTTCCCTAAGAGATTTAGCATTTTTTAAGTATTTTTTTAACATTTTTATGTAATTTGAAAATATACAATTTTGTAAATATACAAAATACAAAAAAAAATACTTTCTCTCTCTTGTTTTATGGGCCACACTCGGTGATGGTCAGGGGTTAAACTTTGCTCTGTGGTCAGGAATTATCCATGGTAGTGCTCTGAGAATCATATAGGGTGCCTGGGATTGAATCTGGGTCTGCCACACGAATGGCAAACACCCTACCCACTGTACTATCACTCCAGGCCTGTGAAGGTACATTTTCCAAATTGTAAACACTGTAACTATATTTCTGTTCTGGATTTTATTTATTATTATTTTAATATACTTTCTCTGGTTGAAATAGCCTAAAAATGCATCTTAAATTTTGATTTAAGAACTTTTTGTAGACAAAGAATTTTACTTTTTTCAATTACAGAAATTAACTGTTCTCACAGGATATCAATAGCAATGATGGTTATAATAATAAAAAGAAATAAAAATGTTATGAAGAAGTTACTTAAAATTCTATAACAGAATTAAAACTTCATTAACATTTTAGTGTTATTCTTTATTCTTTTTTTATATATGATTTCCAATATCTGCATATCTAAATTTATACCTAACTATGAAACTTTATATATAAAACATATGTAGATCCCTTTTCTATAAAAATGAACTCAGGCTATATATTTTGGGAATTGTTGAGATTTTTTTGTTAAATGCTTTCTCCATAGTTTCAAAATTGTTCATTCAGTTACCTTCCTTGAAAAATATGATTTTAATACAAATTCTAAGCCTAAATATTTAATAAGAAGTGGGAGAACAAAAAACTAATTCTATTTTCTTAATGTATTTTATTATAAATGATCAATAACTCACATGGCTAATATTCAATGAAAAGGAAATAAAACACTAAGTTTGAAGACATGATGACTGAATAACAATTTGGGGTCAAATATATTCCTAATAATGGACCAAATCACCTTCCATGCCAATACATCCTGTTCCTTATGCAAATCAAGTAAAAATTAAATGTCTTTATAGCCATTTTCTCTTGCCAGGGTTCTTATTTACTTTTGGAAAGCAGGATATAGGAGAGGAGGTCTGACAATGGTCTGAGGAGTTGGCCAAGAACCATCTGTTCTTGACTCCAGGGCTCGCTGGGTCTCATACAGTGTCGGTATGATGCAGAGGAAGACTGCTTTTCATTCAGACAATGTTTGAGTAATAGATTTCCCATTTCTACTATGTGTATTAGGCCTGAACCTCAAGGTTCTTATGTATAAAATAGGAAATCAGATGCCTTTTACAGAATGGTGTTCCACTAAAATGACACAGAGGGGACGGAAGGAGCACACCATACCAGGCCCTGAAATAGCGTATTTTATTTACCACTTTCACCTAAAGTCACACAACCTTCAGTGAAGACATTCTATAGTAGCAGGAAATGCACAGAGAGACATTTTCTCTCGTCTTTTCTAACCTGTAGCTTCCTCATCTGTGACATTGGTATTACTTCACAGTCCTGTTGTTGTAGTTGTCAGAAATGATCATGTCAGCTGTGCTCATAAACCTTGGCAGCCTGTCAGAGTACTTCAGGTAATATTCTCCCAGCTGCTCTTCTGAACACAGAGAGTCCTGGATGAAGATTGTATACTAGTCCCCAGGGGTAGTCCTAATCAAGAATATTGGAAGATCAAACCATGGCTACAGTAAGAAGGAAGGCACTCCAGCACTCTAACTTGGGGGGAAAGTACTCTTGTGTTCTACAAGGGAAGTACATGCCCCAAATCCAGGAAAAGAGTGCAAGACATATGAGATCAGAAAGGGGAGAAAGAGGAAGTTCAGGAGACACTTGGGTGATGCCTGAACCCCATTTGTCTGGCAAGCACACACAGCTCTGCCTATGGTGCAGAGTGAATGAGCGGAGGTTCTCGCTCGCTCACTCACTCACACAGCAGGAATGAGGCTGGTCCTGGCAGAGTCAGGCCCTCTGGCTTCCGGCTGATGGTGACGAGGTGATGGTGATCAGGGCTCAGGTGAATCCTTAGGGAAACAGACTCTGGAAAAATCACACCTGCCACCTGCCTTTTCTGCCTTGTCATCCTACTTTCTGCTGGAATGACCTTGTTCTTATTCTTGCAGGGCTTCAAGGGACACACAGGCGACTCAGGTGCCCCTGGTCCCCGGGTGAGTAGGCTTCCCTTTGAGGAGTCAGCCCAGGTGCAACAGCACTGGAATTTCTAGATCTCTGGGTGCTGCAAACCTGAGTGATGACTGGCAGAACTATGAGCATCATTTCTCTACCTCCATCTCTCTTTTTCAGATATTTTGTTTTCTGATGGATAGACATGCTACACAACCAACTTTCACCACAGCAGCTCAGGGTCAGGCCCAGCTTCTGTCTGCTGTGCTGCCTGAAGTCCCAGGGGGCAAATTCTGTTAGTCAACTTTAGTGTAGGGGAAGAAACTGATGCCTGGGGAAGATCAAGTAATTTTCCCCAAGGTACCAGGATTAGTTGTTGGAAAGTATGGAGTTTACCACATCTGGGAAGACACTTCAGTATAATTTCTTATTATAGATTCCATTGGGCTGGAGTGATAGAACAGCAAGTAGGGCACTTGTCTTGCACAGAGCCAACCTGGGCCGACCCCGGTTCCATTCCCCTCCCCTCTCGGAGAGCCCAGCATGCTACCCAGAGTACTGCGCCCGCACAGAAAAGCCTCCCAAGCTAACCGTGACGTATTCAATATGCCAAAAACAGTAACAGCAAGTCTCACAATTTGTTCTGACACGTTACAGGTGCCTGCTGGAGCAAATCGATGAACAACAGGAGGACAGTGCTATCCAGTGCTACAGATTCCATTTTTTTCAAATACGTCAAAATAAGGAATCTCAGGATGGGGGGCAGCTGTTTGCACTTTATCCATGCTCTGTTACAGAAGAGATAGCAGAGGGAAGCGGGCCAGAGGCCTGAGCAAGTTGGAATTAGAATTCCCTGCCAGCTTGTCTGTTCCTCCTGTGGCCTCTGCATCTCAGAGAGGCACCATGTGGCCAGGACTCATAGTTAGCCTTGGGAGTGCCGGAGACTTCTGCTCAGGCCACGGCTCAGTGGGGTGCTTCCTGCTGGGCCACCCTCCTGTCTTTCTTGTCCCTCCCAGATCCTTAGCCACCATCGCAGATGCACTCTGTCTCCTTCTTCCTAACATCAGGCATTGTTTCTGCTTCTCCCTTCTAGGGAGAGCCTGGTGCTGCTGGGGCCCCTGGCCGGGAAGGGTTGCCAGGAAAAGATGTAAGTTTGGGTTGCAATGGGTCTGTGGAAGGAGGAGGTACAGATAAAATGGAAAGAGGGAGTCATAGAAGAACCACAAGACACCCAGAAACTGTACCTGGGCAGTGAGTGCCACTGTGAAGATACTGGGCCACACTTGCAGGCCCCGCAGCTCAGTGATGTTGCACATGACAAGAGTATAAATTCTTTATTCTGTAGTCCTGTGCACCCTCCCCTCAAATCTGGGCTTCCTTTTTTTCCTGCTTTACAGGGGTGAAACCCTGCAGTACTTGGGGACCTGAGGCTACTCCTCCAAAAGTCGAGCCTAGTACAGCCACAGTGTTTAAGGTGCCAGGGCCATCTCTAGAAGAGGCTACCCACAAATTCCTGAGCATCACAGGTGACACCTGGAGGCTCCTGAATAGTGTTGGGATGTCCCTGGTGACCCTCCAGAAGCACAAGGCCCAAAATGCACTGTGTTATGAGCCTTCACATGGCCTCATTAGTAGAATATAATTGAAGGTGGCCTGTGGTACCTCTGAAGCATCACTTGGGAGTGCCTCTCATGAAGAAAAAAATCTACATTCAATGATGATTATGGTCTACATGTGAAGGAGCATAGCAGAGTTTCTGTTTTGTTTTCCCATAGCAGGGCGAGAATTATTCCTCTGCCATGCTATCAGTAGAAAGTCTGTAGGAAGGGCTCGTTAGGAATCCCCACCCCTGTGCAAAATATTTCTCTTACGGTGAAATGGTGTAAGGATGTGCGGAACTGCCACAAAACTTCTCTGGGACTAGAGGAATATCTGAGAAAGTAAATAGATAAACTTATGTGAAAAGAAGGCTGTGTATGCATTTACTGACACATAAAACAAGGTTGTCTGTTTTGGAACAGCTGAAAGAATCTGGACCCAGATTGCTTAAAAGACGTTGTGTAACTCAGTGAGCTTTGGTCAACACCTGCCTCCATCATCTTCCCATAATGAACACTGTCATAGCAGAATCTCTCTCTGTTCCAGGGTGACACAGGACCCACAGGACCACAGGGTCCACGAGGATTGAGGGGCCCACCGGTGAGTTTGCATGTAAAATTGCTTTGTTTAATTTTGGGCAAGGCCTGTTACTGTAGTGACACTTGCTTAATTCATTCTTGCTTTATCCTGTGTGATTTAAAATTTGTCGTACGTTTAATTCAAAAATAGCTGCTGCCATGAGTCTCCCTACTGACCACACATGTTGTAGAGCCTTTCTGCAACCAACTGCCACAGTCGACATGTTTAAGTGGTGGTGCCATGTGGCATGGCTCAGCCCTCCCCTCCAACCTTACTGTAGGTATTAGCCCTGTGTAATAGTTGACAAGGATTTTTACAACAATAAAAGTACAATAGCACTGTAGCACTATAGCACTGTCCTCCCGTTGTTCACTGATTTGCTCCAGCAGGCACCAGGAATGTCTCCATTGTGAGTCTTGTTGTTACTGTTTTTGGCATATTAAATACACCAAGGGGAGCTTGCCAGGCCATACGTGCGGGATTCTCTCTATAGCTTGTTGGGCTTTCTGAGAGGGACAGAGTAATTGAACTCCAGTCAGCCACATGCAAGGCAAATGCTCTACCCGCTGTGCTATCACTCCAGCCCAAAAGTATAATAATAACAGCAAATTAAAGGAAGTTAGGATAGTCTCGCTGTTCTAGAGGCTAGGTGTCTAATCAACTCAGTTTCCCTCCATTCTGCAAGCTGCATGTCCTAGATCAAGGGGTCAGTGGGCTGGTTTCTTCTGGCAGCTTTGAGCAAGAATCTGTTCTAGGTCATCCTGTTTCCAAGCTTTTTGTTGTTTTCTGGCAGTTGTCTTTTACTGATTTATGGAAGATTCCACCACCCACCCACCTCCCTTCCTACCTGGCCAATATCTGCTTTTGTCTTCACCTATGTTCAAGTGACTGTTTTATCAGAGCACTATCCATGTTGAATTAAAGTCTCTTACTCCAGTATGATCTCCTTTCAATAAATTAACTACATCGACAGTGCTCCTATTTTCAAAAAGGCCTCGTTTTATTTATTTAATGTTTCTTTGGGGTCACATCCAGTGGTACTTTTAATTCAAAAATAGCTGCTACTCATGATTTACTACTGGCTCTGCACTCAGAGATCACTCCTGGTAGGGCTTGGGGACTATATTGATGCCAGGGATTAAGTCCAGGTTGGTTGCATGCAAGGCAAGCACCTGGCCTGTTGTCCTATACCTCCAGTCCTGAGGATTCCCATTTTAGACATTATGGTTAAGACTTCAGCATTTGTGGGGCTGGAGATACAGTACAGCAGATAGGACACTTGATCTGCATATTGCCCACTTGCTATTCTACCCATAGCATCCCATACAGTCCCTAGTGCCCTGCCAGTAGTTCCTGAGTTCAGAGTCAGGAGTAAGCATTGCCAGGTGTGGCCCTGGATGTCCACTGTGGTCCGGGTAATACCCAACACCACAGCGCACAAGCATCACTGCATTCTCTAACTCTTACCTTGGACTACTGAGTTGAACTGGGAGTCGCCCCAGGTCTACCTGGAACTACTTGAGAGATTCTGCCCCCTAAACAGAACAATACCCATGCATATGGTAAAAGAATAAAAGAGAATTGAAAATTACAAAAGAAAGACAAAACTCCCCACTCCTCAACTCTCAAGGAAGCTGCTGATGATAGTTTTGCAATCTTTGAAAATATTTCCATCATACTCATAAGCATTTAGACTACATGTTTGTCACATAGCACTTGGCAACTTGCATATTAGTTTTTATAACTTATATCTGTGTGTGTAAATTTTAAGTAATGGGACAAACAAATGAGTGAATAAGCTTGTAAGAACTATAGCTTATTGTTCTAGATTATACTGTTGGTAAGAGCTTTAGATTGGACTTCAGCCCAGACTTTCAGCTCCAACTCTGATCATATCCACTGACCATGAGCATGGTTCTGTGCATTATATTCAGAATAAACATGAGTCGATTGTGTGCATTTCAATGCCACATTTCAGAACTCACCAGGTGCAGCCCATTCTCCCCTGAAGAGGCCTGAGTGACTCAAATCCAACCTCCCACAATAATAATAAGTGTTCCATTGGGTAGATGTACCAGAGTTTTTTTAACCAGTCATCTGTCCTCAGGCACTCAGGTTTTTCCCAGATTCTGGCTAATGTAAATAGTGCTGCAATAAACATACAAGTCACTTTCCATGTATCATGCTAAATGAAATGAGTCAGAGAGAGAGGGACAGACACAGAATGACCGCACTCACTTGTGGAATATAAAGTAACATAATGGGGGACTAGCATGCATGGATAATAGAGATAAGGGCCAGGAGGATCGTTTCATGTCTTGGAATCTGGCCTCACATGCTGGGGGAAGAGGCAGCTGAGATAGAGAAGGGACCACCAAGTAAATAATGCTTGGAGGGCTCACTTAGGATGGGAGATGTGTGCTGAAAGTAGACTATGGACTGAACATGATGGCCACTTAGTACACGTATTGCAAACCTTAACACCCCCCAAAAAAGAGTAAAAGGGAATGTGCCTGCCACAGAGGCAAGTGGGGCGTGGCAAGAGGGATACTGGGAACATTGGTGGTGGAGAATGAGCACTGGTGGAAGGATGGGTACTCAATCATTGTATGACTGAAATGTAATCACAAAAGTTTGCAAGTCTGTACCTGTGTCTCACAGTGATTCATTAAAAAGATTTAAAAATTAATAATAATAATAAGTGTGTGAGTTCTGAGATGTCCAAACGCCCTCTGCACTGGCTTCTCCAGCTGACCTCAGAAATGAAATATAAGGCAGCTTTCATTTCGGGGGGTAGGTTTGATGCAGTGGGATTATGTTGTACTGGAACCCAGGATTAAAGCAAGTGTTTTGATGTCCTTGTAGGAAGGGTGGCTGTTTTTAGGATAATCTCATCTCTTGAGATTCTTAGTTTTCTCTGAGCCCTGGTTTTATATTTTCCTCTCTTCAGGGATCTGTCTGACAGGCTTATCACCCCTTTCTAGACTGTGAGTATTTTCCTTCAATAAGTAGGTGTTAGATTCAGCCAGGCTAATTGTTTGAGCTGGATACTCTGCGTGTTTTTTTCCAGAGTTAGGTCACCTTACAGGTACACTAGGTGCATCTCTGCCATTCCCATAGACAGGATGAAGACACTGGCCTTGATACTCTCACCGGTGATAATACTTAGCCCAGGAGGGCTGGTTCCAAAGCCCAGGTACTCTGAGAAATGCACTCCCAGTGGTTCTTGAGGGGCCAAATCTTACTCATTATATATCAGATAGATATGCAGAGTAAAGGAGCAACATTTCATATGGGATTTCATGTAACAACTTGAAAAATAGCATCTAAAAAGACAACCAGGAAGGGTGTATAAAAGGTGGATAAATTCCAGCTGGGAGCCTGCAGAATAGAGTTGCACCTGACACGGGCCTTTTTTGGGGCTACCTAAGCATCTGTAGTTAAGTCATCTGGATTTTTGTCCCTGGCCCGCTCTTTCTTGTCATGTGGACTAGGTGAGTTCCTTCACCTCTTCTGGATCTCAGTTTTCTCGTATGTAGATTTTGTCCAAGTTGTAAGAATCCATTGATTACATCTAATAAAGTGTAGAACTATGCCCAGCACTTGGACAATACCTGATAAATGATATCGTTGGGACCCAGGAATGCCTTTAGATCCTGAGAGGAAGAATAATTGCTCTATCTCCTCATATATTAGTTAGCACAGAGAGGGGCTTTGTAACTGCCTTGTGTGTACATAAACACTCAAGGCAACAAAACGAGAAATGGAAGGAGATTTGAGATGAGCCAGACTAGGTATGAGAGGGAGGCATGGGATGGAGGTTTAGGAGGGAGCGAGGCAAGGTGCGTAAAGGAAGGAGGTAAGAGGGCCAGGTATGGCAGGGAGATAGAGGATGCATATTCAGCTCCCATCTTGGAAAGGCCTCCTGGGGCTCAGGCAGGATTCCTCAAAGACCATTTTATGTTAGATCTGGTTCCCTTGAATCAATTCTGAGGTATAGTCACAAGTGCTTTTTTTTTCTTTGTCCCCCGAGAAGATTAGAGCAGGTGCCAGGCTATTTCTCTAACAACCTTGCTCACATTCAACTGGAATTGATATGCCTTCCTGGGTGAAGAGAGAGTTCTAGCAACCTCAGCAGGTTTGCACAACCTTGAACTAGATGCTGAATATTTATGGAGTGTCTCCAAGAGACGTCAGCAGTCTGCTGCAAGGGACTGCACGAGCATTCACATAACTCACTCCTCAGCTCCATGAAGCTGCTGCTATTCCTGTCACTGTCCCCATTGCAGATGAAAAATGGAAGCACAAAAAGGTGGAGTGTCTCGCCCGAGATCACTCAGCGAGTCAAGAGTAGAGCCAGGATTCGGATGCATGCAACTTGACTCAGAAACAGGTTTCTCCAAATTGATCAGGACTGTGATCATTAGATTTTCTTCTCTAGAGTATCAATTTGAAAGTGGGGCTGGTGCAAGAGTTGGGAACTCACAGTTTTTGTGATTGGGATGGTGTGTGTGTGTGTGTGTGTGTCTGTCTGTCTGTCTGTGTGTCTGTGTGTCTGTGTCTGTGTGTCCATCCTTCATTCCTGGGTAGTATATAGACCAAGGAATTCCATGAGGTCTGGAAGACCTGGAAAATGGTTTGTGGCCCAAGAGGGAGTCAGAACCAGAACCTAGTCAAGCTTCAGCACACAGGTGACAGATGGTCTTTTCAGGTCAACTCTGCGCATAAGGGTTAAGTTGGCATTTTGTGCTAAAGTGTTTTGGCCCTAAATCTCCCTGCAAATGGAGAATATCTGAGGTAGAAGGAAGAAAGGTATACTGGTGGGGTCCAAGTGGTAGTACTATGTATAGAGCATCTGCCTTGAATGCAGCTGACCTGGGTTTGATCCCCAACATCCCATATGGTTCTGTGAACACTGCCAGGAGTAATTTCTGAGTTCAGAGCCAAGAGTAAACCCTCAGCATTGGTGGGTGTGACCCAGAAGGCTAAAAAATAAATAAATAAAAATGATATACTAGGTATAAGAATAAACCAAGGTATCTATTTTTAGATAGATCAATGATGAATTGAGGAAGGTTCCAGGAGGGCCTAACTGGAAGTGTTGAGTGAGAGGAGGGATCAGTCACAGACAGCTGCTGACTCTGTAGCCCAGTGATCCCGTGTAGGTCCTGCACATTCATTGTGCCCTGATGTTATCATCTGTGACATAGGAATCTACTGAGTTGATTCCTGGCAGCATCCTGTGAGGTGAGTCACAAGATTCACCAATGGTCACAGTGTATGTACTTTTTAGGCACAATATAGAAACCACATTTATGACCACTAATCTACAAATCATTTCCTTAATGAGGGGTGGAAGTGTATGGTATTGGGTCAGTGCCTCCTGCCTTCAAACCACTAGGCAGAAGGAAGAGCTCAATGTCCTGAAGTGCTGTGGAAGCCTGTGTTCACAACTCCTAGAGTTCCACAGAGCACCCCTGTGCACTCAGTTGGTGGTACTGAAGAGAGTGACTTCTGAGCATTGAACTGTTAATATGCCCTGAGCACCATCAGATTTGACCCCAGAACAAAAAACCAAGCCTCAGTCCTTTGTCTTCCTTCTCAGGTAGGTTGCTTAACATATCTTTGCCTTGCTTTTCAGTGTTTGTGTGTATTCTGAGTACTTATTTCATGGACAAAATCTTGGAAGAAGGCCTAGCCGAGGCCATTTTATCTTCCCACTATAATCTTTTTCCATGGTTTTGGTTCATTTATCAGTAACTACTTCACAGACTATTTGCCTTATTGGTCAAAGACGTAGTGGAGAGTGGTTTCCCTTGATGTTCTTGGAGGAGATTAACTCCTAAGTATGTGATGCTGTGCTTATCTGGTAGTATAAAGAGAGTCAAGGCACAGGCAGTGCTTTGGGGTTACTTCAGGTAGAGAAGAGAAGCAGATAAAGATAGAGTCACTCAATGAGTTAAAGACCTGAGAGGGAGGGATTTGGGGGGTAGAGAGAGTGATCAGACCAGCTTGATGAAGTTGACCTCTTCATTATAATGCATAAAGTCTCTTGAAATAAAATTGTTTTACTGATGGTGGATAGCAATTTTAAGGAGAATGTGTGATAAAATATAGTGGGGGGAGTGGAGAGAGAGGAAAGAAAGGCAGAGACTGAGGCAGATAGGTTGAGAATGTTTACTGTGCCTCATCCTGGGGTTTTGTTTTTAGGATGTGGCCAGCTGGATGAGCCATGGATTCTTGCTAGTCTTTTCTATAATCTTAAATGACGTGTGGTTCCTCTGGGAGCTGCTTTTCTACCCCTCTCTGGTGCCTTTGTGCCTTCATACCTCAGAGCTGGTAACTTGGTGACTTCTTCAAATCCCTTCTCCCAAAATAAACATCAGGTCAGCGGATGTTGGCACTGCGAGTCAGAATTCAAGTTTTCAATATCAAGTGATTAAGCCTTCCATTTAAGAGCTGTAATACTCTTCACAGGCCACTCCTTTGTTTATATATCTTCAATTACCCTATATAATGGTGTCCAAAAAGGTTTGACAAAACAGCATGCCCATAGTGCCATGTTTCCTAAGTGAGAACAGCACCGTAAGGATATGTGCTCTTTTGTGTAGGATGATCTGTTTGTTCCTTGAGACAGCTTCTGAGTGGAAGGATGAATTGATGGATGTGGGCATGGTTGCTCGCTGTGACTTTGCTGTGGGCAGCTTTCACCGGGCTGAGCTTTTCCCTACCCACCACACTATGAATTAAATATTACAAGCTGGCTTTACAAGTTGAAAAACATCCTCTGAGTAATGAAGTCGTTGACAAAGTCATGCTGCTCCCCATCAGTAATGATTCTTGATATGAAATATGGCCCTTGACACCCGCTAGTCCTTTGTTTCATTGCCCTGTTTTGGGATGCGTGGTAGGGGTGCTGGCACAATATCTCCTCTGTGTCTTTCTCTAGGGAAAGAATGGATCACCTGGACCACCAGGAGACCCTGGTTCTCCAGGAAGCCCAGTGAGTATGCTCCCTCTGCTGTGTGCTGGGGTCAGTACAACCATTCAAGGGACCATTTAACTCACCTCACAAATTGTCTGCTTCCAACTTCTGGAAGCATTGGTGGGGTGATATGGGGATTGAATAATAGAACTAGAGGCAAAATGATCTAGGAAGAGACTTACTTAAAAGTTTGAAACACATTTTATGCACTTTAATGCAAATATTAATTATGCATTTCCCCTCTTTAGGGTCAGAAAGGAAATAAAGGAGAAAATGGCAGCCCAGGACTTCCTGGATTTGTGGGTCCTCGAGGACCTCCGGTAAGCAGCAGCCCTGGATGGGAGTCTAGAACTTTGGGTGTAAAACTCCTGTTTTCTCTGCCTCTCCTGTGTACTCAAACCCAGCTGCTCAGTAAAAAGTGATCTGGGGTGTAGTCTAAATCGCAGCGTCATTTAGGATAGAAATAGTGTCACCCCTGAGTGGAATTGATTCTCGGCTCTCAAATCACAAGACCTTGAGAAAGTTTTATCATTGCTTTGAGTTAGCTTCCTTACTATTCAAATGGGAATAATTATACCTTCCCCTGAGTATTAGATGAGGTCACTTACGTAAAAGGGATTGCAGGGATCTTCATCCCATTTCCGATGCTTAATACCTAGAAGTCATTTTTGTGATGGTTGTGTTAAAGTAATGAGCGTGATGACGGTTCAATAAAATCAAGGATTTTAAAAGATCATTTTAAGGCAGAACTGATTTGGCAGCAGGGTCAGACTGTGTAGGCGAATTAATTAAGGCCGTAGATCAGATGTGTTCCAGCTGCTGTTTGAACGTAGGTGTTCTGATGTCAGTTTGGTGCAGGGTGGCCTTTGCCAGGTTTCTGCAAAGAGGAGTGCTGAGGGACTCTGAAGTTTCCATTCAAGCAACTCTGGTGTGTTCTTTGTTCCTCAGTCCACACATTGTACTGTCGACCAGTAAATAAGTGGTATGTGTCACAGGAAAATGTAGCCTACATTTGTGTGCTTGCCCATATTCCTATGCATTCTCCTTCAAGTTTAATTCGAATCACAGTGTCAGCCAACCCTGCCATGGAAAACTAAGCCTAACATCACAGTCCATTGATTTTTTTTACCAGATGATGTTTTTTTAATTGCCTAGTTGTAAGGCCCAAGATTTCTTCTCTACCCACCCGCTTATTAAGAATCTGACTGCCACTGTGCTGCCAGGTATCCATTTTTCTAGATGCATTGCAACAACTGTTTCTTTAGTCCTGAGAGTAGTGAATTAATTGCAGACTCAGTGCAGCTATTATTCCCAATTTATAGATGAAGAAATATAGCACAATGAACTTTAGTGAAGCTATTAGGATGTTGTCCAGGCTCACAGAGCTAGTAAGTTGGAGAAACAAAGATCCTTACTCTGCATCTCACTCCAAAGCTTCATTGTCTTACTGGTATCTAATTTCACACTGAACCTGCTTCTCAGAGACACCCCCCACTACTGGTCAAATTTGATATCCTAGTGGATTTTTTTTTTTTTGTAGAATCACAGACATACCATTGGTGTCATTCCCAGAATTCCCATATATCATATATAGACAATCTTTGGTTTCCTCTGTGCAGGCTGAACATTTGCAAGGGCCACCCTGTTTGGGATGGCTGACCCTATTGATAGGACCATCCCTTGTTTTTGCTGTAATGTGTCTTAAGTGAAATTGTTTTAAGACAGTCATGATACTTGCACTACACTGATGCTGCAGTAAGGATTTACTGATGCTGTGTTCTGCTTCCTAGGGAGAACAAGGAGAGAAAGGAGTCCCAGGAAAAGAGGCAAGTATCCCCTCCCATGCTCCCCAGTGGCTGTTTGTGTGTGTGTGTGTGTGTATGTGTGTGTGTGTGTGTGTGTGTGTGTGTGTGTGTGGGTTGGGGGGGGGGAGTACAGAGTTAGCTTCATGGATGGGCAACGTGTAATCTCACAGAACCTGTGCTTATGAGCTCTGTCCCCACACTCACATCAGTGTTGTTCCATTATTGCCCATTGTGTAGAACAATCTAATATATTCTGAACAAAGTTCCACATTTTAGTTTCCCCTGGAACTCAACAAAAGATGTGCCTATTTGGAGAGCACCATCTTGATGTCTTTTTTTATTGCTTTATCTCTCTATTCCATCAACAAATACTGTCAGTTCTTACTCTAAAATAGCTCTTATGTCTGTCCAGATCTCTCCATGTCTATACTAGGTCCTAAAACCATCCTGTCATTGTCCCTCACTACACCACTGCAAATCTGTTTTTTGTGTTTGTGAGAGTCTAACCTCAACAGCCTTTTTCAACCCAGCCAGATGGGGACGTAATGTTCTATGCTTGTAGAACACACATGAGGTCATTTCACTCTTGAGTTTATTTCTAGCCCTATCCTCTCCTGCACTCAACAGAATCCAAGCTGCTCCAGTTCTACCCAGGCAGGTTCAGTCTATAAGATCCAGCCACCCGGGCTTCAAGTTCCTGAAAACTTCCAAGTTACTTCTCCACAACTTTCATACATAGTTGACCTTCATACTCAAAGGCCTTTCATTCTTTTCTCCCTCCCTCCCTCCCTCACCCTCCCTCCCTCCCTCCCTCCTTTCCTTCCTTCCTTCCTTCCTTCCTTCCTTCCTTCCTTCCTTCCTTCCTTCTTTTCTTCCTCCCTCCCTCTCTCCCTCCTTCTCTCCCTCCCTCTCTCCCTCCCTTCCTTCCTTCCTCCCTTCCTTTCTCCCTTTCTTCTTCCTCCCTTCTTTCTTCAGGAGGAATTAATTTATTTAAAATTTTTTTTTTTGAGCCATATCTGCCTGTGCTAACTCCTGACTCTGTGCTCAGGGATCACACCTAGCTGGTTCAGGGGACTATATGGGATGCCAGAGTTCAAACCCAGGTCAGCGGCTTACAAGACAAATGCTCTACCCTTTGTACTATCACTCTGGTCCCTACAAACTTTATTGAGACACCATGAGTTACATAGTTATTCATAGTTGAGTTTAGGCTGTGCAATGTTCCAATACCAAACTCACCACCAGTGTTACTTCACCAATGTCCCCATTCCCCACATTACTCCTGACTGCCTCCTTGACAAGCATAGATTTTAGTTTGGATATTGCATTTTAGATCATATGTTTTCAGTACTGTTGACTCTGTCATTTAGATATATACATACACTATATTTCTCCACTGCCTGAGGTCCCTGGCCCTTCTCTGCTTCTTACTCTCCTTCTCAATTTCTTTCCTTCCCTTATCATTTCTGTAATGTAGGATCAAGGGTAATCTTTGGGGCACTGCATTCCCTCGTCCTGTTATTCTCTATAAGTGAGATCATCCAATATCACCCTTCTTCCTCAGAGTCACTTCACTTAATATATTTTCCAGTTCCAACTAAGTTGTAGCAAAGTACATTTTGTCCTTCCTTGCAGCTGCATGACAGTCCATTGTGTACCGCTATTCTTACTCTCACCCCACCCCCTTACCTCGTCGCTTGCCTGTTCCTGCTCCTCCTGAGTGGAAAGTGGAGTACAATTCTTAGAGGCCAGATCAGATGGCACTAAGTCTGGGAAGCATTTACCTCCTGCCACAGTCTCACTTTCCACTCACAGGACAGATCATTCCCTCATTGATTCAATCACCGTTTCGGACTGCTCACTGAATTGAGTGGAAAGAGAATACACCAGCTCCAGCTTCTGAGAGCTGCTTCCTACACCGACCCTGCCCACCCCCTCCCTCCTCCACACACACACACCACACACACACACACACACACACACACACACATATACACCCTATTTTATCAGTTCAGCCTCTGAACAGATCCTAGGGTCATCCCATATCTGCATCTCTCTCCCTCTCTATGGTAAACTCCAGCACCTGCTGCCCTGTGTACACTGCATCCCCAATTTGCAGGATTTATCTTCATATTTTTATCCACCTAGAAGCTCCTTGTCTCCTCCTATTAAATTGTATCAGCCCTATGGCTCCCAACACAGAGAATTATGATTCATTCCTGGGGTTCCCAGTGCATCTTTCTGTATTTCAGTTTCAGAAATGAATTGGTCCGTGATGATTATGAGCAGGACATGCCTGCCTCTACTTCTTAGCCAAGTTTTCAATGCTGTGGGAAAAAGAATATACAGGAGTTCTATCTTACTCCTTTGCTCTGACCTGGCACTAGGACTGCTCAAATGTTTGTTCTCCTGATTTTTTCTCTGGGGAACAACATAGATTATAGGGCACAAGATACAGATACAAATCCTAAACTGGTGACTTGTCAGATTTCTAACCCTGAACTTGGTTGGTGGTAGTTTTTGAAACTTGATTTTTTTTAAATAAGGGCCACACTTAAAAGGGAGCCCCTATTGCATTTGCTGACACTCTCATCCTTAGGCTCATTCTCCCTAATCCCATCATGGGTTTCCAACTTCATAGTTGAACTAACCTCATTGTATCACAAAGACCATAGAGAACATTTGGGGGTTTGGCCTCAACAGTTTTATAGGGGCGTCACAGTTATTAAGTTCACATAAGATAGTGAGATACAGAGATCACTATAGGCAGAAGGATAGATGCTCTTGTACTCCCTTTGTGGGACTCATGAAAGTTATTTGGTTTGGTGTGGAGAGAGCCAGTCAGGTTGGCAGGCACAATAAGTATCAAAGACTGATTCAGATACCTGGCACATTATGGGGAAGGATTTTTTTTTCTGAAACATATAGAGGGATTGGCTCATGGATTCATGTCTCAGGTCAATAGTGGGCCTTGTAGGAGGAAAAGAAAGAAGGAAAATCATGCCCATAATATCTGAACAAAGAGAGAATAATCTAGGAGGGCCAATTCCTTAAGATGTCTCTCTTTGGGTTTTTTTTAGACCACACCCTCTGGTGTTCATGAGCTACTCTGGGGTCAATGCTCAGGAATTGGTCTTGGCAGTGGCTGGGGACCATGAAGTATTAGGGATGAAACTAGAGCCCTCTATACATGCTTCAGCCCTTTGAGTTACTGCCACAGTCCTCTCACCTGTCTCTTGTCCTCAGCATGCTGATAACATCCAGAAGAGCTGACAGAGCAAATCACCCCAAGTAGAGAGTAGCCTTGGTTCAATAACTATCCTCTCTTGGATCTTATTTCAGGGTACTCCGGGGAAACCTGGCGAATTAGGACCCAAAGGAGAAAGGGTAAGTGAGATGTGCAGTCACTGGAATGGGAATTTTACCCAATGCCAAGGGTATTTTGTCCAAGTCAGTCATTGAGTGAACAGCCTGGAGACATTGTTGTTCACAGTCCCTTAGACAATCAAGAGTCCCACAAAGGGAGGTTCTTTCCCCTGGGATTGTTTTATTGTTGTCAATGTTGTTATTGTCTTTTCTTTCTTTTTATTTTTTGGGTTGTTATTTTAAGGAGTAAAATCATTGCAATTACAAATTCAAAGGCAAGTGTTCTGAGACTTTGACAGATTTCCCTCTCTCCCTGTGCGAATACCGGTGCCTGTCAGACTCGGCTCCCAAAGTGCCAATTTGCCGGGAGCCAGATTTGTTGCTGGAGGTGACAAGGGAACAGATTTTCCCATAATGAATCGCCTCAGCACTACAGCCAGAATGGCTTTCTTTACATTAAATTTTTCAAATATATAAATTTTTTTATAAAGGGAGAATTTTTTTCCTCCCACAAATACCAGTGTGGGAAGGGAGTTTTCATACACTGGGGACCAGTGTCTCCATGTGAGAGAGTGAAACTGTTCTCCCGCCTTTGCCCCCAGTCCTGCATAGGCTCCCTTTGGTCAGTCAGCTTGCTGTCACCTCACTGCACAGCCAGGATTCAGAGCCTCCTCACCCCCACCCTCTCTTTGTTTGCCACTATTCTGCATAGACTCATCTCAGCTTTACTTGCCACTTGGCTGAATGAGTCTCTGGTTTCTACTGCAGACCAGAGAAGTGGAAAAAAGAGACTGTGGCATGATGTGTGTGTGTGTGGGGGGGGGGCTCACTCCCCCTGCATCTTTTCCTCCACTCTCTCTCTCTGAGTAATTTTGACTTTTATTTTTTGAGATTTTTCACAAATAGATTTTTTAAAAAATTTTATTGAATCACATAGCACAGCAAGTAGGGTGTTTGCCTTGCACTCAGCCAGCTCAGTGAGCCAGGTTTGATTCCTGCACCCCTCTCCGTGAGCCTGGCCAGCTACCGAGAGTATTCAATATGCCAAACACAGTAACAACAAGTCTCAAAATGGAGACATTACTGGGGCCACTAGAGCAAATCGATGAACAACGGGAGGACAGTGTTTGTTTTTTCTGTTTATTGAAATCACCGTGAGATAGTTACAAGCTTTCATTTTGGGTCACAATCACACAGTGATCAAACACCCATCCCTCCACCAGTGCACATTCCCCACCACCGATATCCCTGTTATAACCCCCCCTTTCCCACCCTCCCTCTACCTCCATAGCAGACAATACTCCCCACCCCCTCTCCTCTCTCTCTCTCTCTCTCTCTCTCTCTCTCTCTCTCTCTCTCTCTCTACTTTTGGGCATTGTGGTTTGCAATACAGACACTGAGAGGTTATCCTGTTTGGTCCTTTATCTACTTTCTGCACACATCTCCCATCCCGACTGATTCCTCCAGCCATCTTTTCTTAGTGATCCCTTCTCTGTCGAGGAATGGAGCACATTCCTGAGAATGAAACCAGGGGGCTGTGCCTCAGAGGGTGTCAAGACCCTCCCCAATCTCCCTCACTCTGCCCTCCTCCACCCTGGCATACACACCTACACCAGGTCACACAGACGTGTCCCTAGAGACTATAGCCCAAGATTGGATTGGAGAGGCGCCAGGGCATTCAGCCCATCACTATGAATTGCTCCTTTAATTCACAATCAATAAATGGAGAGCTGCCCTCCCCTGTTAAGTGGTTCCATGGAACATTGCCATGGAGTGGTCTCTTCCCACGCCTGGGAACGTTTGAAATATGGGACAAATCCTCTCACTGCAAGTGATATTGAGATGTTGCCTGAATAGGAATTTCTCTACCAGGTCAGAGCTTTGCTAGGACCTTGGCTCCCGCCTTCACATAACCCTCGTCTCAGCCCCATTAATGCATCCCACCCAAGGAATCTCAGTGACCTGTTCATACAAGGCCAAATTAATCTTTTAAATCCAGTGTTCTTTTTGTTATTGTAGAGAATGCAACCATACCCTTCCTTACATGTTGTAATTTGTAATAGAATGATTATAATGAAGAATGGGCACTTCTACCACCATCCCTTAGTGTTCCTTTCCCAGGGTCTATCTTTGTGATTTTTCTTTTTATTCTTCCAGAGTCTATTCATATAGAAACATTCCATATAAATGTGATAAATACACAATTTTCTTTTTTCTTTTTTTAACAATCAGCATAGCAGGTGTTGTCTATCCTGTGAATCCACTGATATTTTATATCTTATATATTGGACATTACTCATAACTGCAGTTTTCCTTGTCCAAGGCATTAGCTCCATATCCAGAGTCACTTCTAGTTACCATCTCTTTTCTTTTCACCCATGTGACTCCCCCCCCCTTGGCAATGACACCCCATGATACCCCAAGGCTGTTAGTGCAGATGCTGTATTTTTAGATGCACTAAAAATTAGAACTTGCTGATTAGAAGGACCAAAGCACAAAGGACAAAGTATGGGCTCTCCTGTGTTTGCCAGAGTTACAGAAGTGTTTACCCAGGACTTCAGTCTCTCGATCAGCAACAGAGACTCTAGAACCCCAGCAAGTGAGTTATCTCTAAATAGCAATACTGTCCCTCCATTTGACATAGATCAAAACTGTGGAGAAGTGGACGGCACCTTGGGGTGCCTGTCAGAGCGGCCAGCCTGAAGGAAGTGGATGGAGCTTTGTTTTGGGGCACAAAGTGGTGCTGGAATTTGCAAAGAGAATTCCTGTCTGGGTTGGAATGATAGCACAGCGGGTAGTTCCTTTGCCTTGCACATGGCCGACCTGGGTTTGATTCCTCCGGCCCTCTCGGAGATCCTGGCAAGCTACCATGAGTATCCCACCTGCATGGCAGAGCTTGGCAAACTACCCATGGTGTATTTGATAGGTCAAAAACAGTAACAAATCTCACAGTGGAGACGGTACTGGTGCCCACTCGAGCAAATCGCTGAACAACAGGACAGTGCTACCATTCCACAGTGCAGACTACTCTAGGAATGTAGCAGGAAATTCTGTCCCCGCCCCCCCCCCCCCCCAGCATCTGTGCCCTCATCTCTAAAGCCCCCTCTCTCAGCTCTCCAAGAACCGTATCTCTTTTCCATTGCTACGGAAGATGGGGATGGGGCCCCTTTCCTGGATTGCAGCTTTCCCATCTGCACTTGGTCCTTTGTTCACTGACATGTGTCCTTTCTCAATTAGGGTGATCCGGGGATCAAAGGAGAGAAAGGTCCTCCTGGTGGAAAAGGACAGCCTGGAGACCCTGGAATCCCAGGTCACAAAGGCCATACTGGACTGATGGGTCCTCAAGGACCACCTGGAGAAAATGGACCAGTTGGACCCCCGGGGCCTCCAGGCCAACCAGGATTTCCTGGACTGAGGGTAAGGATGTTGGTGCTTCCTCAAACATAGCTTCTTTGGGGACTACAGGGAAGCTGTAGGGTTTATGGTCTCCTGAGATACTGGGTTAAAGTCTGCTGTCTGCCAGCAACTCTGAATCAGAGCAGAGTGCTCAGTCTGAACCTGAACCTGCCCTTCCCATTTAAAAATGATCATAAGATATTCTCCCAACAATTTTGTTGGAATAAGAAAATGTTATCAAACATACCATGCATAGCTTAAGTGCTCAGGAGGAAAGCTTTTTCTCTCTTCAGCTTTTGTATCCGTGGCTTGGCTTCCTAAAGCTTTATTGTCAGACTTTTGTTCTATCCCTGGATTTTGTGCTAGAAGTGATTGAGAAGATCCAGTTTATTTTTGCCAATATAAAACCTGAACTTACTTAATTTTATCTATTTAAACTTATTCTGGTGGAAGAACTCTTACTTTGCACCAACCTGTATCACTGGCTTGCCTGTGAAGGGGAAATCAGTGCAGACTTCCCGCTGGAAGTCTTGGTTGAGGCTGGCCAATGACCTTCTTTCCCTCTGAAAAGTTTAGATGATTCTCTGGGAACCTCATTGACATCAGGGCACAAGTCTATGTGATCTCCAGTGTGTTGTCAACTCTGGAATTCTGTGTTCTGTAATTTCCCAATAATTGTGTTCAGCCTAAGTTTCAGCCAGGCTGAATGATGTCAGACAGACAAAGCTTGACTGCCACTCCAGTGAATTCTGAAAGACTTGGTGGACTTCTGAAATCCTTAGAGAGTAAAAAACTCATGTTTTGCATGCAGGGAGTTACAGGTTAGATACAGGAGCGTCTTTAGGAGCAGGTAGAGCAGAAAGCCATGAGCAGCCTCCAAGCACTGTCTGTCAGCTGTATCCTCCCACCAAAAAATGAACAACCAACAATATCAACAGACCAAAGTTCTTTGGGTGCTTGTTGAACAATCCTTCCTGGCCCTGCTCTGTTGGTAGCTGTGGGATTTCTGGATCTATAATTCAAAGATTATTGGCCAGAAGAAAAGTAATAGAAAGAAAAGGAATCGATCTCTCACAATGACCAGGCTTGCTGTTGGAATTGCAGAGATAAACTCAGTAAGTTCCTGTGGCCTGGATAAGTCTCTGAAAAAACCAAACAGAGGAGGGGCCTAAAAATATGGCACTGAGGCTGTTTCCCTTAGTGCTGATAAAATAACATCACATGTGTGCTTCTTACCCATAAATTGCTCAGTCCCTGTAAATCAAGTATCTGGACTCCATCAGACACCAAAGGAGGACCAAGCAAGCAAGAAAGAGGAATTCCAGAACCAGGGAACAAGAATTACCAAGGGACTAGTGGAGGGGAAAAGACATGAGTTTAGTGCAGGAGGTAGCCTGTGAGCTGTCCTGAAGGTAGACTTTTCACAAGATGAGACAAAGCATGAGAGTTACCAGAACAAGTGATCAGGGACTTGTGTGGATGGAATCCATGGACATAGTTTTTTATGCAGAAAGATTCCAATAAGCATATTAAAGAAGGTCTAGAGACTCAGAGAGCCAGGAATCTGTCATTATATATATATATATATATATATATATATATATATATATATATATAGGCTGGAGCGATAGCACAATGGGTAGGGCATTTGCCTTGCATGTGGCAGACCTAGTCAGTCGAGGCAGTTTTGATTCTTCCGCCCCTCTACTGAGAGTACCTCGCCTGCACAGCACAGCCTGGCAAGCTACTGAAGACATATTCGATATGCCAAACACAGTCACAAGTCTCACAATGGAGACGTTACTGGGCCCGCTGGAGCAAATCGATGAACAACGGGAGGACAGTGACAGTGATATATATATATAAAACTCTTATCAGGGATCATTTTGGTTTGCTGAGCTAAGGGTCTTGAGTAGCAGAAGTTACTGGAAAGACAAATAAAATACTATCTTTCCTCCACCTAGGGTGAATCTCCATCAATGGATACCCTGCGGAGGCTCATCCAAGAAGAACTCGGGAAACAGCTGGAAGGTGAAACAGCTGGAGGACTCTATCCCATCCCTGCATCTGAGTATCAGGGTGCCTACCGGTGCCTTCAGAACAGTCTTTCATTCTTCCCTCAGTGCTTGTGCCAGCCTGTTCTGAAAAGGCAACCTACAAATGACTCCCATGCGGAAATCAGAATTGAAGAGCCCCTCACTGGTTCTTGGCAGCTCATTAGACACAGATTCCTCTCCAGTTTCTCTGTAGTTTTTCTCCAATCTCTGATGAATACCTCTCATAAAGAAAGCCTGCTCTTGATACAGCAAGCACTACCACAGGCCATCATTTATTGGGGTCACTAAATCATTCATCAGCGAGTAATTTTGAGAGGAGTGAGATAGGCCTCAAAAAACTTAAGAGTTCAGGAGAGGAGATGGATAATAAACATACCATATGTTTCCAGTACATAAGCAAAATTCTGTGAGAAAATTTAGTTCAGAAGTTTTTGAAAGAGGACAGATGTAAGAACCTAAGATAACTCAGAGACGGAGAATGGAAGAAGGGATGCTTAGAGAAGGAAACACGTAAGCCAAAGGGATGATCAAAGAGGAATGAGACCCCTGATATTTGGAATGCCTAGAAAGACTTAAGAAGAAGAAAACTGCACATTTAGAGAAGTATAATCCTTTAACACAAGTGCTTATATGTCAGATTTATTGTTATATTTCACAGTATTCCATGATCTTGATATGGTCAGGGTTGAAAAAGGCAGGGATGTAATAGTAATTATGGCAGTATATGGGACTAAATATGTATTGGGTGGCATTCTAAGTTCTGTAGCTAGGATTCTAAGCATTTGCTCATAAATACTTGTGAAGTAAAACATCCGTTTTTACCCTACATGACATTAGTCAAAGGGATGCTGGGGCTGGAGAGGTCATTCAACCTTCTAGAGTGAATATTTTGCATAATGGTATCCTGGGTTCGGTCCCTGATGCTGCATGTTCCCCTGAGCACAGAACCAAAAGTTGCATCAAAACACCAAAAATTGTGTCCTCAAAACAAAACAAAATCTGAGGAAAAGAGACCAGAGGTGCTTAGCAATTTTCCAAAGGACAAAGCTCTCCTATATGTCTCTTTGTCTCGTGGAGATTTATATGCATGCAACCTCACCACAGAAGCTGCATCTTTTTTTTTTTTTTGCTTAGTTGATATTGGAACTGGAGTGATAGCACAGTGGGTAGGGTGTTTGCCTTGCATGGCCAACCCTGCTGACCTGCGTTCGATTCCTCTGCCCCTCTCGGACAGCCTGGCAAACTACCAAGAGTATCTCGCCTGCATGATAAAGCCTGGCAAGCTACTTGTAACCTATTTCATATGCTAAAAATCACAAATTCGTCGATTGCCTTGAGCAGGCGCCAGTAACGTCTCCTTCATCCTGGCCCTGAGGTTATATTCAAGGCTCTTTAAGAGAATGAGACCCATCATTGTTACTGGTATTTGGCATATTGGGTACGCCACGGGGAGTTTGCCAGACTCTGCTGTGTGGGCAGGCTACATTCGGTAGCCTACCAGTTTGTCAAATTAGCTAAAAATATGCTAAAAATAGTGACAACAATTTTCACAATTTGTTGTTAGATGTTACTGGTGCCTGCTCAAGCAAATCAATGAACAATGGGAGGACCGTACTACAGTGCAGTTGATTTTTGGGCCACAACCATGGGTTTCTCAGGAATTCCTTCAGGTCCTGCATTTGGGATCATTGGTGGTGGGGCTCAGGAAACCAAATATGATGCCAGGCATTGAATCTTGGTTGACCACATGTAAGACATGTGCCCCTATCCAATATATTGTCTCTTCAGCCCTGAGAAGCTATATTCTTTTTTTGGGGGGAGCACATCTGGCTATAGTCAGGGTTAGCTCATGGATCTGCATTCAGAAAATACTCATGATGGGCATGTGGGACTATACGGGGTTCCAGGAATCAAAACCAGGTCAGTTACATGCAAGGTAAGTGCCCTGTCTGCTCTGGCCCCAAGAAGAAGTCATGAAGTTATACTCTTTTTTTTTTTTAATTTTTATTAGTGAAACACCATGAGGTACAGTTGTAGACTTACAAATTTTTGTGTTTGGGTTTCAATTATACAAAGATTGAGTACCTATCCCTCCACCAGTGCCCATTCCCCACCTCCAAAGCTCCCAGTATCCCTCCCTCCACCATCCTGCCCCACCCCTGTTGTAGGCCATTCCCTTTTGTTCTTTCTCTCCTTTAGGGTGCAAAGAAAGAAGTAGAAAAGTAGGGATTAAGAGTATAACTTGATGCTGAAAGTAGATGAAGTTATACTCTTAATCCCTACTTTTCTACTTCCTTCTTTAAAGGAAACCGTTAGGTGAAAAATAGTCACAGATCATTCTACAGGAAGAAAAATAAGAAATCAGTAACTATTTCCAGGCACCGATGGTCTAAAGGAGAGGGAACATTTATTCACAGGGTCAAGTCTATGACAGCCATTTGTATCAACCATATATCAGACTCTCAGCTTCGGGGATAGAGCATGGGATCAAGATGATGCTTGTCCCTGCTCTCTCTGAGTGTGAGCATAGCATCTCTCTCCACTCAAAGGAGAGTTAATGACCTTGGGTCAGTCTGTAAGAAATTGAAGTGCTGGGGGAGGGAGGAGGAAAACAAAATTTTGAGTGTGGATGCCCTTTGTCCATTTATGTCCTTGGGTTTTGCATATGAGAATATGCATGTGCCACCTTCTGGGTCTTAGAGGTATTCAGTGATGCCTCAGGGGAGCCTACAGCTAAAGAAAAGATATAAGACCTGTTTGGAAGTAATTCAAAATGGAGTACTTGCTAAGTTGAATCTTCTCCCAAGTCATCTTTTCTACATGGAGTATCCACTCCACTTTACAGATGAGAAAATCAAGACTCAGTGAAGTTAAACAATTTCTTGTCACCACACTTGTCTTGTCACCTTCTGTAAGAGAACAGAAAATGGGAAGGAGAGAGCTCTCCTGGAAAGAGCAGATGATTCTCAAATCCTGATGGTTCTAAACCCTAATTCTGCTGTAGTTTTTCTACCTAAAGAGATTTGAAAAGCCAGAGATTTGAAAAGCATTCCCTTCCCAATCTCTTTGGGGTCTGTCACAGCATCTCCAAGGTGGTGTTCCTGGGTCTGATATCTGGACCATATGACAAACAGGCCCTTTTATGCCCGGGGCTGGAGGGTGAAGGGGTTGGGGATGACTACACCCTATGGTGTTCAGGGCTTACCCCTGTCTCTATGCTCAATGATTACTCCTGGCAGTGCTCAGGATATCATATGTGGTGCTAGGGGCTTGAACCTGGTTTGAATGCATGCAAGGCAAAGGCCCTATCTGCTCTATTATCTCTCCAGCCCAAAGATAGCTCTTAGCCTTTAGATCAACACTCTCTCCCCAGTCAATTACAACAGTGTTGCAGATCAGCAATAAGGACTCATAATCTCCATGTTTTACATATGGAAGAGTTATTAATAACAATCACAGTTCCTTCTAGATGAGGAATCTGGCCTTTGTTGAAGAAAATCACTACATTCTGTTTCACAAATCACTTAAATCTGACCCCTGCCTTTGTTATCCCAAATGTCAATGACTACAACCACAATTGGTCTTGGAAAGATTAGACCACTAGCGTCCACTAAGCATTGGCCCTGTGCCAGAAAATACTGGGATGCATAAAATCATTTCCTTCATTCTTACACTGAGGTATATGTTATTTTAGTTCATGCATCTAACAAAAAGGAAAGCAAGAGGTAAGAGAGGTCAGGTAACTTGCCTACTTCTGGTCAGCAACACAAAGCTCTATCTCCCCAGAGAATGTAATCCAGGCTGCCTGACTTCAGAGGCTGAAACAGTTGAGTTAGCCTATGACCTATCTATTAGAGATGCATAAACAGGTACTACATATATCCTATGCCATGTGCCTTTGGTATGGGTTTATTGCTATTGCTTTGTATTATCTCTTCAGACAATAAGGCAAAACAATGGCATTGCCATCTTGTCCTGTTTTTGTGACCTTCCTTCATGGCATGTCTCTCTTTTTCCCATTCCTTAGTCAAACTTGCCTACCTCTTGGCCCAGATGCCCCCTGCACAGGTAAAGGTATCTCAAGGCAGACCTGGGCCTCCAGGACCTCCCGGAAAAGATGGGTTCCCAGGCCGGGCCGGGCCTATGGGAGAGCCAGGACGACCTGGGCAGGGTGGTCGGGAAGGACCTTCTGGACCGGTGGGCCCCAAAGGTGAGTGTTTCATGGGCTCCATGTGTGGGAGCTTGGGGTGAGATGCACACTACATCTGAGTATGCATAATTCATGCCTTTCTCATCTCCTGCAGCTTGGCAATGCCCTCAAGTTTGGCATCATATAATTTTTTCATATGCATAAGAGGCTTTCATGCTTGACATTTTTACAAAATTGTACTTCTGCCAGGAGGATTGAATCAGTTCCCTCCTGCTTTCTTGTTCTCTCTCCATCTCCACTACTCAGGTTTCAAGAGCTATACCAAGAGCTCTGTTTGATCCCTTGTGAGTTTAGAGTCAACTGAGGAAGAAGGCAACTAATCTCAATGAAAATGGGCATGACAATCCAACTGTATTATTGACTGAGGTGCATTAAGCTGCAGCTAAATATGGCTGCTCCTTGGATGACCACACAGGAGTTCTGGGCTGTAGGAAGATGCTCCTTTTTGATCCACACCTTCCTACTTAAGTGAGTGCATAGTGGCCAGTGGGTCAGATTGCCAAGAGAAGCGCCTAAAACTAAACCCCCCAGCCTGATAGCATAGTCCTTCCTTTTGGGGAAGAAGAAGCAGGGAAAGTGATCCCAGCTGCCACTTTTTAGGGGAATTGAGGTTTGAGAATTGGACATACTTTAATCCTACACTATTTCTTAATATTTTATTGATTCATTTATTCCCTGAATTTCTTCTTCTAGTAAAAGGCTTTTTGTTAAATTTAATGTCTGAATCCTATCTATATTGATTCATAAAACAAAAATATGAATAAATGTTAATAGGAAAGGATAAAGTATAGGAGAACAGCAGACAATGACAGAATAATAGTCTAACATAATAATTACACAATAAATAAGAAATAGAAGAATGCCAATTTGGATTGAGAAAGAAAATACAATGTGTTGCATTTGAGAGCTAATTTGAAAACCACATGGCAAAAATAATGATTAAAAAATAAATTACAAGACAGTTGAATCACATCTTTACAGTATTAATTCAACCATAATCTTAAATATCGTCCCAGAGGAAACACCTCCCAGAGGAAACACTCTACTTGAACATCTGTTCTGGTTTTCAAATCCGATGCTATTACTTACTGCATTCTGCGTCTCTTTGAAATGGTCTTTGTGCCTCGAGTTTATGTTTTATTAGATTTCAAGCTTCATAGAAGTGGAATTGTGCACTATGTATGCAAACCCTTTTTATCCAATACCTTTAAAATAGAAATTTGTGTAAATGCTTTAAGGAGAAAGGGAGACACATCCCAGTGGATGTATGGCGACATGTGATACTAGGGGTGATAGTGATGGATGTGTATATTTGGTTGCTGTGCTTAAATAAGTCAGCTTTTTTATTTGGACATATACCTTTGCTAATATGTATATGCATGTGTGTGTATAAAATTGGGCAGTCATGGGTGCAAGTAAATATTTCTGTGTAAATAGGAGCTCATGTTTAAAATAGTTACCTCGATTCTAGTTCAAATGCAAAGACACCCCCTTTTCTGCATTTAGAGTGCAACAATCAATTGAGCCACACAAGGCAGTGATGATGGGGTATTTGTAGTTAAGTGCTGAGGGATTGCTTCTGGAAGTCCTCAGGTTACCATGCGAGGCCATGGTTTGAACACAATACACTATATACATAGTAGGCACGTCAGCCCAGTGGGCTATCACCCTGGCTTCTTTTTTTTTTTTTTTGGATATTCTCCATACAGATCATTCTAATGACCCAGAACTAAGCACCCAGACCATTGGTTAGCTTCTCTGAGGATATTTTAGGTTCATAGCTTATGCTGAATAAATTAGCTGAAATAGGGTATCCTTTGTTTTAAAGAAAACTTTAAACTCCGTAGTTGTATTAACCTCACCTGAGATACTAGACACCAGTCCTACCTGGGACTCTTCGATGGTCAATTCCAGATGTGTATAATCTCTGGGCGGCTAGGGGAAGCCCCGGTGGCTCTCCCTCTCACCACGCAAGTTCAGTGGACTTCGGCTGCTCCCTTCCCAGGACGGCCCATACCATGGGCGGATGAAGGAAGAAACGGGGGCCAAGCTGGTTGATGATCAGTTGCCATTTATTCCATTCTCCCCACGCAGCTGTTCCAGTCTCCCTAAACTCCCCATTCTAGTCTCACACTACCCATCATTCCTATCTCCTCCTATCTCCCCCACTCATCTCTTCGTGCTCCCTCTCGCAGCTGCTTCTCATCTCTCCATGTGCCTGGTCCTTCATTCTTCCCCTACATTCTTCTCTCTCTGTCCCCCTTGCTAGTCTCTCCATGCTCCATCTTACTGCCCTGGTTTCTTTCTCATCTCTCTCCAACTCTGCCATATTGGGGGTCACACATCAACATATCAAAGCCCTTCCTGACTGCCAGTCAGGCTCAAGGATGAAAATACCACCTGGTTGAGTTCCTCCTCTCTTTAGTTCAATAACTTAATTAACATCTTAATTAACATCTTAATTCTACTTCTAAATATTAGTTATTTTGTACAGACTCAGTAAGAGATACGCAGAGCTTGTAGGGTGGCTCTCCTGGGGACATCTTGCCACAGACACAGATTATAGTGCTCAGGCCGAATTAATCATTCCTAACCCTCGCAGTATCCGAATCTGTTTCTTACTTTTTGAATCATGACAGAATTTGTCCATGACCATGCTCTTAACTTATAGTTTAGCATCATGGCACTTTAGTCAGGCCCATTTTGATGCCAGGGTAGCACATAGCTCACAGCTTACCCTGGGTCCTTCCAGTCTCTCGTTGGGACCCTGCTTTTACCCTGCTTTGGGGGTGCTAGAACTAAGGGCAACTGACGCTTAGGTCACAACAGATGCCCCGGAGATAATATTATCTGGAGTCAATGAACTCCCAAGTTAAAAAAACATAGCAGTAACTGTTTTCTTGTGCCTCTACAAAAAGGACATTGCTCTGAATTAACTATGCAAAGGACTTAAGGAGAAGAGGAAATCAATATTTATAAGTCAACAGAGCACAAAGAAAGAAGTTACAAGTAAATACAGAGGACTGGGAGCACTGTGGTGGGAGTAACCCAATAAACCTAAGCTCCCTATAGCAAGGCAGAAAGGACAAACCAATGTTATCCTACACAACTGTAAATATTTTTTGGAATAAATTAACCTGGGAAACTTGATTATGTTAAAGATGGACTCTCTTGAGGGATGCTGGTATTCAAGGACAGAGTCCTGATTTCCCAGGACTGGAAGGCCATCCTGGCCATCGTGATACCTCACTATTTATTTGTTTTGGTATTGACTTGGTTGTATTTCTGCAAGTATGTACTTGAGGGTGTATGAATAAGTGTGTGGACAAGAATGAGGGGCACATGGGATTATGTGTGATTCAGGGTAGTTGTCCCCAGAGGGTCACAGCAACATAGACTGGTATCCTGCACAGTGACACCTGGTTTCTCTCTACACCATGAGTCTCACCATTGCAGATATCTTCTTTTCTCACCAGGTGAGCGAGGAGTCAAAGGCGATCCAGGTGTACCCGGAATTGGCCTCCGAGGAGAGATGGGCCCACCTGGTGTCCCAGGTAGGATTGGTGTCTAGTGTCTTGGGTTGAGGTTAATATCACTGTGGAGTGAGACACATTGAAGCTCTCCAATCTGTCTTCACCACAATTCTCAAACCTAGGGCCCAGGGCTGCAGTTCAACCAGTGAGGGGACAGAACATTGGTTTTATTTACTCTTCCCAAAATGTTAGTTCTGATTCATAATCAAACGGACTCATGTAATATATCCCCTAAATTCTTGAAGTGTAGCCCATAAGTTAAAAATCCTAAGAAATAGTACTAAAGAACACCGGAATTTAAAAGACAGGTAGTGCTGGGAGCTGTATCTCCTTTTTAGTCAGTCATAGTAAATTATGACTTCTTATACAAGTTGGGGAATCTTGTATGAAGGGTAATATTTATTTTATTTCAGCCATAATTTTTCAAACTTTCTTTAACATGGAACTTTTGTGTCCCCCCCCCATTGTGTACCTGTCAATACCTGATACTAGCTCTCAGAGTATATTTGGGGGAATGTCATTCAAGTAGACCAATTCTATTGGCTTGTGTCATGCAGAAGGGACATGGTCCCTTCTTCTAAAATTTCATCAAGTTGGTGATCCAACCTAAAGGGTGTACTGGAGGAGCTCCTAATAAAAAGAAGTAATCACTTTCCCCGATAAGGTATATCAGTGGAAGCTAGAAAAAATTAAACTGATTTGTTATCAGATTCCACCTCGTTGAGGCCTCTATTTCTATTTAGTTCTAGTATATATGATTGAGCTCATTTTAAAAATATTAATCTTACAGGTAATTTTCATTTTAGTTCCATTTCCGCTGTTCCCAAATTTCTTATAGCGGACTTATAAATGCTACTTACTTTTAACAATGTGTCGTCTTTCAAATAGCTTATAATATTAAAGGTATTTAAAAAATAAGGCAATTCAAAATATAGAAAGACATAAAGGAAACAATTTAAAAGTGGGAAATAATTGTGTTATTATGCAGTTAAGATAATGACTACACTTCAGAGATTCCCAGCTGAGGGAAAGAAAAAGTCTGCAGGTTTCAAAGTTTGGTTTAAGCAGGACTTTAGAGTCCTGCTCTAGCAGAGTACAAGCAAAAATTATGAAATTTCTAAATAACTTCCAAAGGGAAATATCTACTTTTTGCTTATTTTATTGAGGATGTAAACATCCAGAGTAATTACTAAGAAAGGAAGCAATTACTTAAGAAGGGAATATCATTGTTGGCATTATCTACAAGACTTAGCACTAACTCCATTGTCAACGCAAAGGGTGTTATTATGTTGCTTAGTAAGTGGTGATAGAAATTTGTCTACAGATGTTTCTAGAGGATCTAAATTATGGGCTGTCAATTACGTACATCATACCTGTCTTTGAACACTTGTATAAATAGTTAATATATGATTTAAATGTGTAGCACTGTAGCACTGTCCTCCCATTGTTCATCTATTTGCTCAAGCAGGCACCAGTAACGTCTCCATTGTGAGACTTGTTGTTACTGTTTTTGGCATACTGAATGTGCCATGGGGAGGTTGCCAGGCTCTGCCATGTGGGCAGGATACTCTTGGTAGCTTTCTGGGTTCTCTGAGGGGGCGGAGGAATCAAACCGGGGTCAGCCGTGTGCAAGGCAAACACCCTACCTGTTGTGCTCCAGCCCTGATTAATTTAAATTTTACATATAAAAATTTAAAAACTACTTAATATTTGGAACAAGTTAGATACTGACATATAAAATTTTAAAATGTGACATATAAAAGTTTAAAAACTACTTAATATTTGAAACAACTTATATACTGGATCATATATAAAACAAGTTAGTTTCTCTTTAAGAATGCATGACTGACTAAAGTTGAGGACTTAGCATGGCATTCAAAATTCAATTTCATCTACTAGAACTTTGTAAGAATATAGAAGTTCTGTTCCTTTGTACAACAAAAGTGAGAACATGGTTCATACTTGGCCTCAATTTACCCTTGTTTTTTCCTTTTCATTAACACACTGTTTACTATTTCTAGTTTAAATGGTTATGGCTGTTTCTTTTATTTTATTTGGACTGTGGGGCTTATGCCTCATCTGGCCAAGCTCAGGGAACTGCTCCTGTGCTAGGGATTCCTCCTGGCAATGACTGGGAAACTATGTGGTACAGGGTTCAAAGTGGAGCTGTTACATAAAAAGATTACGCTTCATCCTGTTGAACTACTGACCCGTCCTCTTTTCTTTCATGTGAGGGTGATCTTCTATGTAATGACCATGTGGTCCAACCAAATGATTCCCAGGTTGAACTCACAGAAAATGCCATCATTTCCTGAGGATATTTTAAGTTCCTAGCTCTTACTGAATAAACTCAGTGAAACAGGCATCCTTTGATTCAAAAGAAACTTGAACCTCTTTCTCTTTCTTTTGCTCTTTGATCCAGGTCAACCTGGAGAACCGGGTTATGCCAAAGATGGGCTCCCTGGGAGTCCGGGCCCTCAAGGAGAGACAGGACCAGCAGGACATCCTGGTCCTCCAGGCCCACCTGGCCCCCCTGGTCAGTGTGACCCATCCCAGTGTGCTTACTTTGCCAGCCTTGCTGCCCGTCCAGGCAATGTGAAAGGTACCTAGAAGATTCCGGAAAGCAAGGAGACAGAGGAGGATTTCTGAAACTTGAACTTAAAGCTCTCTGTGGGAATCCAGAGGTCTTGAAACATTTCAATTATGAGTGTTTTTCCTTACTTTTATCATATGTTTTTATTTTATTGAGAGACCTCAATATTATTAAAATGAAGAGATGCTGCCGGTCGGTCAGATTGTTATTATTATTATAATTATTTTTAATTATTATTATTTCATGTGATGATGGTTTGTGTGCTTTTTACCTCTAAATTGGGACAACTTGTTTTATGGGGTACTGGATTGTTCTCAGTTCTCAAAATCCCCTTTGCAATGTATCCACCAATTTAAAGGAAACTCTTGGTGCTATGAATCCCTGACAAGACACTTGCCAAATTTACCTCTTTCCTCCAAGAAAACATTTTTAAGAAATAAAACAGTGAGCATCTATTCTTGGTCTTGCCCAGAGATTGCCTGGAGAGAAATTGTCAACAAGTTGCCACTTACACGGAGAAGAAGATGAAGTAGGAAGAGAAGAGAATTATAATTACATAGAATGTTCTTCCTATGATGCAAAGTTCACACAATCAGCCCAGCCTCAGGCCTCAGGGAGCAATGGCCACTGCTGCAGTGTTTCAGGTTTGCAGGAGGGAAATTGTGTGTCAAGGGTTGTCAAGAGCTCTGAGGAGTTCTGTGTTTATGCTTAGTTAAAGCAATCCCTGTGTCTTAATTGGGACCCCTTCAAGTTTCTCATTGTTGGTTTCACTCAATTTGTTTGTAAAATAAGGGGTCCAGTGACCACTCCTGGTTTTTACTAATAGTGTATAATTGGCCAGAGCACTGGCCAACAACCAGGAAGTCTATGCCTCCAGGGTCCTCCTCTGAAATATATTTCATTGAGTGTACATGTGTGTATATGACAGTCTAGTCAAAGCAGGTGCTCAATAAACATTTCTCAAGTTGATATGATGATTCCTTTCTCTTTTTTTTCTTTTTTTTTTCTTGTAAGGGATAGATTTTGGGCTACCCCCAGTGCTCAGGAACTGCCTCTATGCTCAGAAGTCACGACTGGTGGGGCTCATGGGACAATGTACAATGCAGGGGACTGAAACAGGGCTGACCAGATGTAAGCAAGCATCCCCTTGCACTGTCTGTCTGGACTGATGATTCCTTTCTTATCTCCAAACCCCACCTACATAAGAGCTCCTCAGGGACAGGCCTGTCTTTTTCCTCTGGAAACCTAATATAAAGCTGTGTGATAAATATTTATGGAGTGCCTCCAGGAGACATCAGGAGAATCTGTTTCAAGGGGCTGCGCAAGCATTCACATAACTCACTTCCCAGCTCCATGAAGCTGCTGCTATTCCTGTCACGTGTCCACATTGCAGATGAAAACTGGAGTATCTTGCCCAAGAATACAGCAAGTTAATGGTCTGGATCCATACAACTTGATTCAGGAGTGGGCTAGGGCTACTTTGAATTGATCTGGGCTGTGAGCACTAGATTTCCTTCTCCAGAGAACCACTCTGAAAGAAGGGCTGATGCAGGAGTTGAGAACTCAGAGTGCTTGGATGGGGACGGTGTATGTGTGTGTATGTGTGTGTGTGTGTGTGTGTGTGTGTGTTGTGCATATGTGTTTGTGCTTATCCTTCATTCCTGAGTGGTACAGAGATGAAGAGCCAAGAGGTTCCTCAAAATTGTGGGGTCAGAGGGGGAGGCCCTGGGAATTGATTTGTGACCCAGAAAGAGTCAAAACAGCAACAAAGTCAAGCTCTAGCACACAAAGGACAGGTAGCCTCTCTGGTTATATGCACTGTTGGTGAGAGATCTTATAACTTAACTAGTTTCTGAGCAATTTGCTATTATCCATTTCATCAGAGCAGCACTGTATTTTACATTATGGATGAAGACACAACTGTGCAAGACTACAGTAGCAGAGGGAAGAAGTAAGAGATAGACAGATAGATGGAGATATATATATATACATATGTAGTTTAATATGCCTAGTTAGGCATATTAAATCATCATACAAATTAAATATTTAACAGTAATAAAATTCTTTTAGGGATTTTAAGATAATATTTATTATAAATATGTTCCTTCCAGTATAATTTATTTTAATTATGCTTTTTTTTACCTGAGAAATCTGCCAATCACAATTGAAAATGCACCTAAGATATTCCAAATACTGCACAAGACATATGGATATATAGCCGTTATTTTTCCTGTTGTTTTTCTAAAACTTAGTCTTTTACTAGATATCATCCTGTATTTTATCTCACAATTCTAGTTGTTATCAAATGGAAGGGGGGATGGTGGGTGAGTTTTTAAGATCTACTTGTATTTTTGAATGGGCCAGGTCTAAGAGTAAGTAAAAGTTATTTAATCATGCCTGGGATCATAACCCACGATTTAAAAGCTAAGATCTAGTTGAATTCAAACATGGGCAAAACTCAAACCCAAACAAACATAAGTGGGATTTAGCATTTTTACACCTGCCAACCAGCTCAATCTGTGGACCAGTCATTAAAAAATCACTGGTTTAAACATACCTAGAACTTGGCCAGAACAACACCCTTGCAGATTAAAAATCTGCAAAGATGAGATGCTGAATTTTCTTCTTTTTTAATCTAAAAATGCTGCACTGTGCTTGGAATAAACAAAAATTCTCCTAAATGACTCACAAAGTTGGGCTCAAGCCTACTATTTCAGCATTTTCTATCCAGCCTTCACTTTCAGATTTCCAGCTTCTGAAATACATGGCTTATCTCTGAATAGGAAACTCTATTCTCCTTCTAATGAACAGAATCTGAAATTTGTTCTTTCCTTGGAAAGTCCTTGGGGAGAAGCTGAGTCTAGGTTCTGTGTCCAGAAGACAGAATACTATTTTGCACCATAGTGAAAAAATAGTAGTTGCTCAATTAATAATGATGAAGGCCAAGAACTCCTCCAAACACCTCATGGAGTGCATTTGAAATTCTGAGGATTCACTCTGTAGACTGGCAATATAATCTCAGTTCTCTTCCATTGGAGAAAAAATGGGTTCCTGTCCCTGTATTTTGGTTCAGAGATCACTTTGATTTTCAGACTATAGCTTTGAGTTCTTGCTGAGTATAGATAAAGGTTTCATGGTCAGTGTTCTTCATCTCTGGCTTTCTTGAACCAAGATTTAAATGCAACCTGATATACAACTGAAATTCCCCTAATTAGTTATTAATTAGCACTACTGAATATCCCTAAAGGTGTGGCAGAGTGAACAACTCCACCAGCTGCTGTACCTCCTCCAGCTGAGCCAAACTGCAGATGTCAAATGTGTAACTGAATGAACTTCATTGACTTCAATGTCTACCTGTTTTAAAGGAAATTACTATGAATTTAATAAGAATTGTGTGAAAACATCTTTCTTTGGTTTTATTGAGATATAATTGACCTGTAACATTATATAAACATTTTAGTTGTCACAAGTGATGATGGGATACATTTATATATTTAAATAAGGAGTTTTTGCTCAAAGGCAAACAGGGTCCATTGTTTATAGTTCTCCCAATTTCCCACCTTAAAGAACAATTGAGTCAACTTTGTTCATCTGAATTTTAGTAGAGAAATTTCCTAATCAGATCCTTGATTAGCCTGTTTCTCAAAATATGTCCTCTCCCCTTACATTTTAAATCTATTTCATGCAAGATATCTATGAAGGGATGGACTTGACTCTGCTCCTAAGGTAAATTAGGAACTCTGTTAAAGGAACAAATCCATTTGTTTCAAATGACAGCTGATTTACCTGCACCCTGGAGAATCACACTGGCACCTCTGGGTATTAGCAGAAATCTCTATGACCTGTGGAACCCTCTGTATGAGAATAATCATGTGACATGACTGGGGCACATGAGGGTATGTTTATTTCTCTAAGACAAGAGTGAAAGTTCAAGTGGGTAATCAGGACTGAAAGCACCTAGATTCCCAAGAGTGGGGATCTGAACACAGATTTTGTTTCTCTCCGGGTTTCAGCTTGGAGTCCAAGCTGTGATGTGGGCTCTGGTCTTGCAGTTTTCCTTTGAAGATTAGGGTATGGGTCAGACTCAGCAGAATAAGGTAGGACTTATGAGGCTGACCGTTTTTGTTAGTTTTTTTTTTTTCTCAATGTCGGTATATGGCAGTTCTAACCAAGTACCACAATTTAATAAGAAGTCACCATCCTACCTGAAAAGGAGTACAGCCAAAGGCAAGAGAGTAAATTAAAATTAAAAAGATGGTTTTTATTTTAATTCACATTTTATTTTAATTTAATTTTAATTTACATGGCCCTGAGAGAGAAGAAAGGATAGATAATATGCACATGTTCAGTGCATAACAGTTTGTGAAGATATCTCAGGTTATGCTTCTGTTCTTTCTCATCCTGGAGATATATGGCCAGGATATAATTTCAGAGTGGGCCTTAAGCTTCCTTCTCAGAGGGCCTGGGGTGATGTTAGCATCCTACACTTAGGGCTTCAATACGCCACTAATAGTTTGCAAGTTTATTTTATTGAGGAGTGGGGATTAGGGTCACATCTAGTAGTGCTAATGCCTGTTCCTGGCACTGTGCTAAGGAGTGATCCCTAGTAGTGTTTATGGGACCATATGTGATGCTTGGATCAAACCTGAGTCAGCTACATGCAAGGAAATTTTTCTACTCTTATACTCTCAGCCTGTATGATTGGCTAGTCTTTGAGAGAGGATAGGAGTGTTAGAAATGTCAGGCTCTGACTCCTTATCTGGAACTTCCCTTACACAAGCACTAGCACAGAATCCCTTATACCAATACTAAAACAGAGAGCTCTTCAAAACCGGAGTTTAGATGCAATGGCCATTGTTTACTCTCACCAGTGACTTTTAGTGAGCACCAACTCTCTCCTGGCTATATACAGAAGCCAACTCCAATTGTGTAATTAAAAAATAAAGTTATCATGGGGAAAAGAGATGCCACTTGTTAAATTTTTAAAATGCATATGTTGCCTTTCTGGTTTATTTTGATAATGGTTTAAGAGGTGCTTTTTTAGGATAAAGCATATTATCTCTCTACCTTTTCTATGGTAACATAAAAAGGCAATACATTCAGGCACCTTTTTGATGCTATCTTGAGAAGCCAGAATAATGAATATGCTCTGGGTAACTGGAGCTAATGGGTCATTAAGACCATCGAAACCATAGAACTGGCCAGGAGGTATTTTAGAAGGGAAATATCTGGGGCAAGGAGGGTTTCTGTCCTCAAGACATTTGAGACCTGAAAAGAAGCTTAAGACAGAGAAATATCAGACGCAGACCTTGCTGGACCAATTTTCCTTTTATACAACCATTCTTTTTTAAGGACTTCCAATTATTGCTTTTACTTCTTCTAACCTCAAGAAGAAGGAGGGAGAGAATGGGGATGTTGCTCCAGTTCACGATATTCACTAGCAGAGGAATGACCCTGACAACTTGACCCTTGACTGTGGAATTCAGCATGATCCTTAGAGCATGACACGATAAGCAGTTACTATGGAAACAATGGTTCGGTCATTTCACCCAGTCTCACCTTGGTTTTCTTCCCAAATGTTCCCCATCATCAGGGAAGAATTGAGAACTTGGCAAGAATTATTGAGCTGGCTGTAACCCAGTAGCCTTATTATTTAGTGGTCTGAGCTGGTGGGATAAAAGGGACAAAGAAAGTGGCAAAGATGGGACTGGAAGCAAAGAGTCTGTTCACAGGTGGCTGTTTGCTTATTTTAAAGCTCAGGAGACCTAGTGACAAGAGTTAGGAATAGCAACATGAAAAAAAATGCAAGCTGATTCA